ACATAGGGAAGGGGAAGGGAAAGTGTTTTCACCTCACCATCCATTCCCTGTCCCTAGCATAAGTGAGGAGGACTTTAAGAGATCTATTTGAAGAACTTTACACGTATCGCCTGGAGTCTGAAGGACTCAGGAACTGGTGCCTCATTCAGCTGAAGGCAAGGAGGTGTGGCCAGCTAGATGGTTGGACAGCAGAAAGAAGAGAGATGCTATGTTGGGTTAGTGTGCACTTTCAGGGTTTGCTGGAGGAAAAGGAGAGAGTGAGTTTCCCAAGAGACCATTGTGGACCCTGTGTCATCTTAAGAGAGACTGAATCTGGAGAATAGATGACCCAGAAACTGGAAGTGAGAGATCCCCAATGATATGGAGATTTTGATGTGCCCATAAAAGCCCCCCTCAAGAGAAAGAATCAGCATTTAGAATCAGCCACACCAACAAGGCACCAATGCTAGCTTATAACCAGTGGTGTGCTGGCAAATGTTTAACAACTGGCTCCCTAAAAATATATATATATACATAAATAATAAACAAATAATATATATAATAAATTTTATTAATATAAAATGTATAGCACATATTGTACAAATAATAATAAATATACAATACTCTCTATTGTAAATACCATACAGCCAACTGATTCTCACAGAACTCTTTTGTTGATTTTTGTGGAATTCTTGTTTCCTAGTCAAACTATAATAGCAATTGACTAATAACTGTAATTTGAATGTTGGTTGATATTTCCATTTAAGTTAACTAATAAGATGAAAATGAAACAATGAAGACATAGGTCAGAATTTCACATGTTTATCTATGACATCAGTGATGTCATTGCTGAATTGGATAGTGGTTTTTGAACACTGGAATATTTCCTCAATTTTTTGTGCTAGTCACAATGTACCACAGCAGACACACACACTTTTCATTTAATTCTATAATTAATACTTTCTCCATCACTTTCTTAAGTCTAGGCTATCAACAATACAATAAAACAATCCCTGATTTGTATCATTTGCCATTTTCCATGGTGTCAATACACCCATCATGGTCATTTTCAAGCTATCAATGTGACATCACTGAATGAGGCATTGGGAAGAAATGTGCAATAGCACATCATTGTATGATATTTTCACCATATAGATACAATAGATGCGAATAACCTCAAGAGTACAGATAATGGTAAAATGTAGTGAAATAATTAGGAAATGATGAGTTTTGAGTATTTATTATCTTTGTTTTAATATAATTTATTTAATTATATGTTTATATAATTTAATATTTAACAATGGTTGTGTTAACAATCATTTCATACAATTCCTGAAATTTTAACAATCAGCTCTCACAGGGCAGTGGCTCTAGCACACCACTGATTCATAGCTGTACCAGTGAAGTAAGATCTTTCCTCCTCTTACTCTTTGCCCACCTTCCAATTTTAAAGCAGCTCAAAACATCAGCTACTAGAAGGGAGAAGAGCTGAGACAAGAAAACAAAAAGAAACCAACCTTGACTGCCTGCCATTGGGTGAAGCTTTAATTGGATGAGAGTCTGGAGTTTTCATAATAAGCAGCACTGGACTTTTTATCACTGAGAATAATCAGAAAAGCTCCGAGGCCTAAGAAGGAATTAATTTAGAGGATGAGAAAAATATATTGACAGGAAAAGTGATGAGAAAGATGAACGTTTCCTTTTTCTTGCTCCCTACAAAGTCCAGCTTGTTCAATAAAACAAATAAAAACAAAGAAGAAATTTTGAGAGGAAGATGAAACCAGTTTAGATTCATGCTGAATTTGAGGAGACTAGGGTAACCATGAGAAGATATCCAGGAGGCTTTAGAAATTTCAGTTTTGGAGATTCAGAGAAGATGACATGAGAGAGAGACATTTGTAAGCTAAAAGCATTATAAGCTCATTGACTTTAAGAACATCGATAAAATCTTTCAGACAGAGATATAGACTGTTCAATCATGCATGGGCAGACAACTTAACCATTGATCCTACTAGGCGGCACTCACTTGGCTAGAAAGTTTAAATATGTTATCTCTTATATACCTCAAAACAACTCTACAAAGTAGATCTTATACCCACTTTGCCAACAAGGAAACTAAGGCTCAGATGGGGGAGTAACTAGCTAGAGATCACATAGCTAAGGAAATGCTAGAGCCATATTTGATCCCAGGTCATCTGATTCAAAAGCCATTAAGCATTAACTACTCCATGAAATTGTAGTTCTTTCCCAATTTTCAGTCAGTTCAATAAATTAATCTAAATCCTCTTATTTCCGACACATCTGGAACCAGCTTGGTGAAGAATGGGAAGCTAGGTTTTGACTTAATAGTTTTAAAGTTAGAGATGATCTTCAAAAGAGAAAATTAAGGAAGCAGAAGTAACAGGATAAAGCATGTTTTATCTCTTTCAGTTTTTCTAGATGAATCCTGAACTCCCCAACTATTTTTTTTTCTTTCTTTTTACCCTCTTAGATTTCCCATGCTCACTTCTGCCACTAAACCTTTGGTTCTTGAGATATTTCCTCCTGGAGTTGCCATCCAAATGCTACTTACTGGGCCTCTGAGGTTCAGTATAAATTCCACCTCCTCTATGAAGTCATTCTTGTCTACTCCAGTCCCCACTATTCTTTTCTACCTCTAAGCATATATCATAATATTTAGCAACAAACTTGTCTTTCTTCTACTCCTCAGAAACAGCCGCCAGGTTGGTGTGCCCTCTACTCCTAAGCTTTCCAACCTGAGTTAAAAGGGAGCTGACATTATGTCTTCTCTGCTCTTCATCTACCTCTTGGTATTAAGCCTCCCTCATTTCTAGACCATTTTTCTCTGCAGTCACTTATTCTCCTAACCCCTACCTATGGCTGCCCTCCCCGAGGAATCTACTGTTTCAAAATTACCTGTATCTTACTTTTAACCCATTCCACACCCAGCATACATTTCTACTTAAATCAGTCAACACTAAGGGGGGATGCACTGCTAGCCCTTTCTCAGTGCTCTTCCCCGGAGGTTCTTTAACATTTAGGAATCTCTAAAAATTGAATATTCAGGCCAGAGAGGAGGCAGCTAGATCTTATCACTATCCTTCCCTGATATAGGCCAGCCTTCAAAAGGAGAAGGAAAAAGGAGGATATGAGGTCACCATTCCTTCTCATTTGAGAGAGGAGCCTCCCACTATTTTGCTTCCTTTCCCAGTCCCACCCACCCTGCCATCTACATCTGGTCTCTCCATTTCCCCAGGGAGCTTGAGTTCCAATCTGTTCTTCTCTTTGCCCTCCATAAAGGGGAAGTAGCTGTCATAATATATAGGAGGATCTTGACCCTGGACAATGAACCTAATAAAAGTCTTTAAGGGACTTCAGGGCAGTCTCATGCTCCACCCACTTACTAATTCATTCAGCATATTTACATTGAACACTCACTACTAATTGGAGATTAGAGATACAAAGGGAGACAAGAAATAAACCCTGAGATTAAGAAGTTTATGGTGGGGGGGACGGGATGGGTAATAAATAAAATAAAATGACATAAAACTAAATTCAAGGGATGACAAGGTGGTATTGGAACACACAGAGAGGACACCTAGCTCAGTTTTGAGGACATTAGATAAAGCTTCTTAGAGGAGGTGATGGCTGGTTGAAACCAAACATCAAAGAGGACTTAGCTAGGGAAAATTAGTCAGGGAAGAGCATTATAGAAAAAGTTATGTGCAAATGCTCAGATAAGAAAGAACAGGGCACATCCTGGGAGGTGCAAGTGTGGTTCAACCTAGAAAGAGTACAGCATAAGTGAGATCATGTGAAAATAAGGAGCTAGAGAAGTAAACAAGACTAGCTCTAAATGGGCTTAAAGTACAATTTTCTCCTCCTAGAAATGCTTTGTTTGACTATCTAAGCCAGTAATAGGAATTCAAATCACTTACTGAACCGCCTACCATTTTACTTATTAAATCAAACCACAATAATTATTAGGGATATCAGTAAGTATCTGTAATTAGATGTGGTAGATTTTCCTGTCTATACAAAATGGTTATCTCCAGAGTTTAAGGAATTAGAGGGGCATTGGTAATTACCAGTTTTAGAGAGAGCCATTTAGAGAAACAGTACATTCTTAATATTACAATACAACCCCCAGGGGAAGGATTATATGAGACATCAAAGGTAATAGTAAATAATAAAACAATGTAAATAGTGAATACTGTAATAATGTGAATATAGTAAAAATAGTAAAAAAAAAAAAAAGCCATTTCTCAAAACAAATGAATACCACAAAAAAGATATTAGCAGTAAAATTAAGATTGGAAATATTTAATTCAGCCTTCACACACGCTGCTATTTACTGGAAACTTAGGAGAAATGTTCGTTTATTTTGACAAAATGGCGAGCAACTCTATATACTACTGGAAATTTTCGGTGAGGTCAAAATCTTAAATGGAAGTGACTTCTTAAGAGAACAGTTTAAGTACTGCTTTGCCTTGATTAATATGTCCATGAAGAATGTGCTTCCAAAATATAAAGCCTTGGATTGCTAGGTGAAGGGTAGGGAAGGATGAGGTTCCCTAAGGCTCCGTCTACCAATAAGAGTTTAAGAGCTGAGCCAATGTCTAATTTCTCGCAGGAACTTCTCGCAGGAAGAGGGAGAACTTCAGAGCAATTCATTTATCCTAAGAACGCTCTGCCCCGTGAGAACACTGGTCTGTCTTTAGATAAACAGTTTGTCAAGCCTCTTTTGGCGACCCATCTTCTTTGCTTTCTTTTTTGACTTCTCTTTATCAAATCGACGTGGAAAACTACATTCGGGTGCAGTAACAGTAAGGCAAAGTCCTGTAATCGACGAGACGCCTCTGTGCTTCGCGAACGCAGCCCACGGCCGATACGCGAGGAGACTAAGTGTGACCTCCTGGGCACCCGTAGCTCGGATTCTCAGGATCAGGCACCGGAAGTGCCCCGCCTGCGCGGCCTCCTCTCCCGGAATAGAAACTCCCGCTGCTGCCCCTCGGCAGTCCGTAAGGCACTGGAAGTCTGCGAGCATGGAGGCGGCGCGCCCTCCCTCGACGACAGGGAAGTTCGTGGTGGTCGGCGGTGGCATCGCGGGTGTCACCTGTGCGGAGCAGGTAGGGCGGGCGCGCCGGCGGCTCCGCCTCTTCCTCGACCCCGGAGGCGGTGGCGCTCGAGACTCCTTCCCGCCCCCTCCCCTTGTGCTTCCTGGTGCCTCTTTTGCCGCTTCCTTTTCCCCGCACTCCTTCTTGCTCCCAGTTATTAGAGAATGGATGGTGGTCCTCAGATGATGCGTTCAGTACCTCGCAAGCTTCGGCTCAGGCTCAGGGAGGAGGGGTGGCGAGCAGTTAGTTAGGGGGAAGCCCAAGCCGACTGAACCAGGGTGTGGTCCAAGTGATGCCAGAGCAGACGAGAGGGCTTATAGCTAGTAAGTCCTTGGTCAGAAAATTCAGCCCCCTTTCTTAATTAGCTGATTGAATTCAGCTTTCGGGTAGGTGCCAAGTCCTTAGTGCATCGTAAAGAAACTCTTACGTAAGTTTCCTGTACTTTGAACTTCCAAGATAGAAGAGAATAATCAGACCATATATATACATATACATATATTCCAAAAAAGATTAAATTATGTTGATATAAAGTAAACATAAGCAGTCAGTGAAGTCATAAGAAATAGTGCAAGAAATGCAAGAGTTGTGTGTGTATTTTCCATTTTATTTCCTTTTATTCACTAAGTAAACACCTAGGATCCAGGCACTGTACTAAGGGCTGATTAGTCAAATATAAACAGAGCATGGTACCTCCTTTTGAGAGAGACAGTCTAGTGGAAGAGATATGTAAATAAATCATTTCATCAGTGTGTTTCCTCTCTTGGGGTGCCTGTGGAGTAGGTGAAGAGTGAATTAGGGAAGAGGTGTCCTTTCTCAAAGGATGTATCCTTTTGTCTCAATATAGAAGAATGAGTAAAAGTTCACCAGGTAGACAAAAAAAGACAGACATTCCAAAGGGAGGCAATGGTGGAAAAGAATGGGAGCAGCAAAGCTTAAAGCATATGGTGCGTGGGGGAGGTGACCAGAAATGAAGTTAGGAAGGTTGGCAGAGACCAGATCATAAAGGATCTTATAAGTCATGGTAAGAATTTAACAAGAATTTAGAAGTAATGATTTTGAGCAGTGGAGTAATGTGACCAAATGAGAATTTTTGAAAGATGATTAGTTATAGCGTGGTTGGGGCAGGGGCAGCTGGTTAATATGAGACTGGAAGAGCGATTTTAGTAGAAGTTTTGAGGGCCTGGTCTAGCAATGGAAACAGAAAGTGGAGAAATAAATTACAGAGGGTACAAAGCAAAGAAAGAGGGAAAGAGTGATAATATTTTCAGATTTTATAGAAAGTTTAAATACTATACTAAAAAGAATCTCATGGATTTTAAGAATGTATAGGTGAATTGGACATGCTCAATTTTAATGGTATAGTAGGAATAGAAGTAGAGATTGGTGAAGTTGAGGAAATGGAGTGTGAATTAAGAAAATGTTTTCAGGAAGTTTAAAGTGAGGAAAAGAGAGGTTGTAGCTAGAGGAGAATGATGAAACAATAGCAAGTTAAACCTCTGAATTTTGTTAAGGCTAATATTAAAATGGCTTTGTCTTCCCAGAATACATACTGGTTGGGCATTCGAAAGAGGCAGGATATGAGTGCCAAAGCCCTTGAGAAAAGTCAGGCTAAGATTCTGAATGTTTATTATTGAGGGTTTACTGTAATTTCATCCCACTGAAGGCAAATGAAAATATTATTTTACAGTAAATAGTTGTTTTAACTGTTAATTAGGAAGATAGTTTCTTCTCATCCTCTGAATGATAACTTTAATTTGGTATATAAAATAGTTTAAATTAGGAATACCTCTTTATATCACTTTTTTTGTTCAGGAGGTCTTTGTTAGTGTTTAGTGTAAATGTATTATTCGTCTTAATTCAATATCAGAGTTGAACATTAATCACCACTACCCCACAAATATGAATAAGACTCAGGATAATGGAGACCTTTAGATGAGGAACAGTGAGTTTTTAGTTTCCTAGGTTAAAAACACTATTAAAATTGCATTATCCCTGTCTCACTCCCCACGCCATATATACTAATATCTGAAGTTATCATATTTTTTCCTACTTTTTTTTAATAAGTTGGCAGTTCACTTTCCATCAGAAGATATTCTCCTGGTGACAGCTTCTCCTGTTATTAAAGCGGTTACAAATTTCAAGCAGGTAAGAATTTTTGTATAACTTTCTTAGTATTAGTAATTTTTTTTAAATTGCAATAATTTGCATAGCAGTTAATGTAATTGTCGTATTTTAATTGTTTAAAGTGACACATGTTCTTCTGATACTTATTTTAAAATCATAACTCAAAGTTTAGAATTATTCAGATTGAATACTAAGAGCACCCAGAATAATATTAAATTTCTAGTCTTCTGTTTTTTTTTTCCTCTCGTTTTTTTCCTCCCTCTCAGAATTACTTTTCAGAAAATTTAAAAATTTTTTGAGGAAAGATGCTATGCAGATCTAAATATGAATGCAAGTATATATGTATATCTTTACTATAAATATGTGTGTGTTTACATATCAGAAGAAAAGTCCTTCTGAGCCAAGTTTAAACTTGCAGATAATTAATGTTTCAGATATGTAATAAGAATCTCAGAGCCAGCCCTGATGGCCTAGCAGGTCAAGTTCAGCGTGCTCCGCTTCAGCAGCCCAGGTTTGGTTCCCAGGCGTGGAACCACACCAGTTGTCTGTCAGTAGCTATGCTATGGTGGCGGCTCACGTAGAATAACTAGAAGGACTTATAACTAGAATATACAACTATGTATTGGAGCTTTGGGGAGGGAAAAAAAAAAAGAGAGGAAGATTGGCAACAGATATTAGCTCAGAGCAAATCTTTCCTAGCAAAAAAAAAAAGAAAGAAATATCTCTTCCACATACTACCAGAATTTGTCAATCCATTGTGCTTATTCTCATTAAAAAAAAAAAAAGAAAGAATCTCACAGCACTTTGTAATTCCATGAATTTATATTACACACATTATAAAATTATAATAGCAGTCTAAGATCACTTGGGTCATAGTATCATTAGAAGAGTGGTCTCCAAACATTTTTAATCCTGTACTTTTCACCTGTTAAAAAGTTTTGAGGGGCCGGCCCCTGGCGTAGCAGTTAAGTGCATGTGCTCCACTGCTGGCGGCCTGTGTTCGGATCCCGGGCGCGCGCTAGTGCACCGCTTGTCCAGCCATGCTGTGGCGGCATCCTGCGTAAAGTGGAGGAAGATGGGCACAGATGTTAGCTCAGGGCTGATCTTCCTCAGCAAAAAGAGAAGGATTGGCATGGATGTTAGCTCAGGACTGATCTCCCTCACAAAAAAAAAAAAGGAATTACTAAAAAAAAAAAAGTTTTGAGCTCATATCCTAATATATGTTTATTTATATATTTATAAATTATATACAGGTACTACAGTGCTACAATTATGAATGTTATAATGCCTGTGCAAAAAATAGATGAATAAAACGGTGAAAAACATAAATCTTTTCTTCCCACACTTCAGGGAAGACTACTGCCATAGTCTTTGATTTAATACAAGTTTTCCGTTATAATATCTGATAATAGAAAATAACTTTTTTTCGCATTTTGTCTAAGATTTATTATTTATTCATATAAAGGTTAACAGACTTGACGTCAAGGAAGACAAGCCACCTTCCCACTACGCATCTCCCACAGACACATCTTTCCAATCTTCAAGTATATTTTCTAGAAGTTCTTTATATACTGTCTCCCAGGAAAGAGATCAATATACATTTAACCCACCTCATTCTCATTTGTAAACCCCTAAGGTTTACATAAACTCCTAAGACCAAGGGTAATTTAGTGCCATATGTTGCTCCCTTATAACCTGCCTGGAGATAGGTAAGGTATCCCAAAAGAGATAGGGGATTGGGAGAAACAGAGAACAGATTATGGCTATTAATGTCTAAAAGAAAAAAAAAAAGTATATATTCAGTTACAGGCTAAGAGCACATACATAAGAGGAAGATGTATAGCTGGGTCTTATAAATGTCTTTCCAGAACACTTAATTTGGTGTAATGATCCCAGAGTTAATAAGACTTGAGTTCAATTTTTGCCAATTTTGTAAGTTTTGTACAATAGAAGGAAAAAAGCTTGGGTTCTAAGCCTAACTCTGTTATCTACTGGCTGTGTAGCCTTGGCAAATGTCTGTACCTGAGTTGCTTTACCTATAATATTAGGATAATACTTCCCTTGCTTACTTAACAAGGCTGAGCTTAAGATGTACTAATATACATGAAAGTGTATTAGAATAACAAACATTATGCAAATGTCAGTTATTCTTAGTGTTTGGAAGTCATAAATTGCATCCTTTTATGATGTTGCATTTATGTGATATATGAACCAATGTGCTAGGTACCCAGGATACAGAGATTAAAAGTAGAGAACATACACCAAAAAGTCATTAGTGGCTATCTGTGGGGTAGGAGGAAGGTGTGAGATTTGGAGAGTGGTAAAGAGGGACTTTATCCTGTATTATGTGTTGTTTGTTTAATGTTAAAAAGAGCACATATTAATGACTTTTGTAGTTCTTACAGGACAAAAAAGATTACTAATAATAATTCACATTATTTATGGAGCACTTACTATGGACCAAACACTCTTCTAAATGTTTTAAATATATTAATATATTTAATCCTTAACCCTATGAAGTAGTTTCTTGTATTATTCCCACTTTACAGATGAGGTAAATGAGTCACCGCAAGGTTAGGGAAGTTTCCAGGGTGCATATAGTCAGGTTTTAAATCCAGGTACTTGGGCTCCAGAGCTCTCATGGTTAATGAGTAGCACTTTCTCAGAATGATTACTTTCTACTGGGGCAACAGATATGCAAGAAACAATTATCATATAATATGATAATTGTCCTGATAGAGGCAAAAAAATTGGGGTCATATTCCAATAATGCATTTTATATTTATACATATAACACTTTGTGAATGAGTGGCAGAGCCTGCTTTTGAGAATCAAGGAAGGCTTTACATAGGAGGTCGCACTGAAACTGAGACTTCAAGAGTAAGTAGGTTTTGCCATGTTTGTAAAAAGTCGAGTGGAGGTAGGCGTGTGCCAAGGTGCGTGCAAGTGTATGACTATGTAGTATGCTCTCACAGGTACCACTTCAGCACTGCTGGAGTGTAAAGGGTGAGATTGAACCAGTAGGCAGGGGCCAGATCATGACGGGCTTGTATGCCGTGATGTAGAATTGCATTTTATCTAAATTTAGATGATGCCAAACTGCTGGAGCATTTTGAGCAGGTGAGAAGACTGAGCTGGAGATAATAATTTAATATTCAGCATTGTCTCAGTGTCAGCGGTTTCCCAGGAAGGGTGCATACAGTGAGAAGAGCCCAGTGGTGGTGTCCTATAGAACACTTGACATTTAAGGGAAGGTCAGAGAGGAAAGGAGAACTTAAAAATGGCCATCCTTCTTATTAGTCTTAGATTAAGAGGAAAACTCTGAAAGAGCAGTATTGCTGAAGCCAAAGTTTCAGTTAAAAGGAATGGTTAATCACGTTGGATCCTATGGAATAGTCAGGTAAGCTAATGCCTGAAAAGTAGCTATTTCTAGTAAATTATTGGTGACTTGGACACAATTTATACTATTTTGAGAAATTAATAGGAGGTAATTCTAAGATGATAGTAAACAAACTTTTCTCTTGAAATTTGGCTGCAAAGGAAGAAGAGAGAGACTGGCAACAAAAAGAGGATGTAAGGGGAGCATTAAGTTGAGTTCTGTTCTTTTGAGGTGGAAAACACTTCAGCATGTTTACCTGTTGAGTTTAAGAACCCTGTGGGGAAGGCTGAAGATGAAAGGAAAAAAGGAATACAAATAAGGAAAGAGTCCTGAAGAGGTGAGATGATGGGATATGGAGCACAGATTAGTGGATTCACCTTGAGAAGGTGGAAGGGGGTCAAGGAAGGTGGACGATAGAGAAATTTATAGATAGTGGGAAAGAAGTAGTGAGAGTTCTTAGTAGTCTCTTTGAGCCTAGAAGTAAGGTGAATTGCTGAGGATAAAGAAGATGGAATAAGTTTGGGGAACGTTAGAATGGTGAAAGTTTGAAAAAGTTCCTGAGGGACTGGAATATGTTACTAAGAAGTTATTTGCTCTTCTCACTATATTGACATTTGCATTGATGGTACAAAAGCAGTGGTGGGGGGGCAACCCTGTGGCTTAGCAGTTAAGTGCACGCGCTCCGACACTGGCGGCCCGGGTTCGGATCGCAGGCGTGCACCGACGCACCGCTTCTCCGGCCATGCTGAGGTGGCATCCCACATACAGCAACTAAGAAGGATGTGCAACTATGACATACAACTATCTACTGGGGCTTTGGGGCGAAAAAGGGGAAAAAAAAAGGAGGAGGATTGGCAATAGATGTTAGCTCAGGGCCGGTCTTCCTCAGCAAAAAGAGAGGAGGATTGGCATGGATGTTAGCTCAGGGCTGATCTTCCTCACAAAAAAAAAAACAACAAAAAAACCCGAAAGCAATGGTGGCTAAACTGTACTAGTAGTTGTATTCTTCACTGCCACACAAGCAGTTAAAAAAATAAAAGCCAGTAAAAAATTTTAATTTTATTAAATCTTGACTCCTAAGTGCACATCTTTTTAATATTCTGTATGATGAAATGGGCTGTATGCATAAAGCACTTCTGCGTACAAGAGGACAGTGTTGTCTCGAGGAAAAGCAGCTGTGTGCGATTGCTGAGTTGCAAGATGAACTAGCTGCTTTTTTTCATGGAGCATCAATTTAATTGGAAAGAACAACTGACAAACTGGTTATTCATATTCAGAAAATGAAGTGGGCCTGTCACTTCAAGAAAAACAACTGACAGTATTTGTTGCCAATATGACAAAATTAGAGCTTTCAAACAAAAATTAGAATTTTGGAAAACTCATTCTTCACCGTGAGCCTCACAGTCCTTAAAGACTTTTCTGATGAGATTGTTATGATAATAATGAATGTGATTTTTTTATATTGTGTTGATAGGAAATGTGTCAATATTTAGAAGATCTCCATAGCTTAGTGAACCAATATTGTCCAGATGACCAATGTGTGATGTTACAAGATCCATTCAAAGTGCAGGATGGACCAAGGGATTTCACAGTAACAGAGTATGAAAATTTCTGTGATATGGTTTCAAATTTTGCATTGCGTCTGATCTTTAAAAACCCATCGCTTGTTGAGTTTTAGTGTAATATTGAGAAAGAATATATAGTTATCTGAAAGGGCTATATATCTGTGTGAGGCTGAACTTCTTGTACTTCAACCAAAACAACATATTGCAAGAGTTTAAATGCAGACGCACTTATGCAGCTGTCTTCTATTAAGTCAGAGGTTAAAGAGATTTGCAAAAATGTGAAACAGTGCCATTCTTCTCTCTTAATTTGTTTTGTTCTGGAAAAAATAGTTATTTTTCATTATAAGTATATTATATGTGTTTAACATGTATTGGATTTATTGTTACTTTTAAGTGATTAGGAAATATTTAAAATTTTCCTCAGTTTTAATTTCTAATGCAGCAAATATTACTAATATAACTCAAACAAACAAAAGCTCATTGGGTCCTCAATCATTTGTAAGAGTGTAAAAGGGTCTTGAGCATAAAAGATTTGAGAACTGCTATGGCCATGTGGTAGGATTTCCATGCACTGTATTAGGGAGGTCAAATACCAGTGTGCAAGGTGTGTGGTTCTTCTGTATCAGACTGGTAGGACTAGAGAAAGCAGGTAGTTTGATCTGTGGTTGGGAGTTTTCAGGGTAATTAATGGTTAAGGATAAGAGAGCAAGGAAATAAAGGGTTTGGGCAAAAGACAAAATGATCCACAGTGGAGTCTTAGCAGGATAGGAGGGAAAGTGAGTCCAAGAGGTTGCTGATGATTTTGGAGAACAGCAAAGAAGAGTCCAAAGACTAGATAACAGTAAGGTTGGCTAGTAAGTGGAAAGAGAAAGCAACAAGGATAAGGAAATAGGTAAGCTGTCTGATTAAACTATATAGAAGTAGTAGTGTTAGCCCTCATTTTACAGGCCAGGAAACTAAGGCTCAGTGACTTCTCTGACTTGCTGAAGAGTAGTAGACTAGTATTTAAGTTCAAGTCTTAAAATCAGGAGTCTAGCCATCTTTCCACTGTCTGTAGCACAATTAGCAGACTTTCTTGTTTTATGAACATGAAATAAGTAGAATATAAGATGAAATGAAAGTATTTTTATTTAAATTCTTAAAAGAAAAAATGTTTTTAAATATACATTTTTACCTCTTTGATCTAATACAGGTTTCTAAAGTATTGGAAGAATTCGATGTTGAAGAACAACCAAGTACCATGTTAGAAAATCGCTTTCCCAACATTAGGGTTATAGAATCTGGAGTAAAGCAACTGAAGAGTGAAGAACATGTAAGAGGATTTTTTCTTAATGACGTTTTCCATTGTTAAATCTTGGTGAGATTTTGCCTGCCTTCCTTTGACCCCACCTGTACCCCGACCACCAGAGTCTCTAGCATGTAAATTTTAGTGACATTGATTTCCATTATTAGTAGAAAAATGTACACTTTTTGTGAGTTTATTGGGATTAAATATAATTCATTTAGTTTGGCATTTTAGATTTTACATTTCAAGTTAGCATTAACATTTGTATAGTGTCCACTGTATTCTGTGCACTGCATTTAAGTGCTGGGATACAATAGCGGTAATATAAGGAACCTTCTCCTGGGAGCTCTTAGTGTCACAGGGAGTGTAGACATGCACATGTATAATTGTATGGACATGTGAAAAGCACAGTCATTGAAATATTATCGAAGCTCTGATACTGGGTATTGAGGAAGACTTTGCAGATTGAGAAATATTTGCGCTACGTTTTAAAAGATAGGTGAATTAAGACTTCTCCAGGGCTGGCCCCGTGGCTTATCGGTTAAGTGCGTGCACTCCGCTGCTGGCGGCCCAGGTTCGGATCCCGGGCACGCACCGACGCACCGCTTCTCCGGCCATGCTGAGGCTGCGTCCCACATACAGCAAGAAGGCTGTGCAGCTATGACATACAACTATCTACTGGGGCTTTGGGGGAAAAAAAAAAAAAAAAAAAAAAAAAAAAAAAAAAAAAAAAAAGACTTCTCCAGGTGGAAAAGGGCATTCCAGGAAAAGGACATTGCATTTTCAAAGACCCATAGAAAGGAAGGGGGGCATGTGAAATAATGAGATTCTCAAAGGGATTAGGGTACAGATAAGTAAAGGAGATTGGCAGAAAAGGCCAGAGAAATAAGTAAACAAGATTGTGAAGAACTTTTCATGTCATGCTAAGAAATTGAATTTATTTTATAATCAATGGAGAAATAAAGAGATTTTAAGTGGAGGCAGGGATGATAAAATAGATGTTCTTTTTTTGTGTGTGTGAGGAAGATCAGCCCTGAGCTAACATCCATGCCAATCCTCCTCTTTTTGCTGAGGAATACTGGCCCTGGGCCAACATCTGTGCCCATATTCCTCCACTTTATATGGGATGCCGCCACAGCATGGCTTGACAGGCGATGCTTCGGTGTGCGCCCGGGATCCGAACCTGGGCTGCCAGCAGCGGAGCGTGCACACTTAACCGCTAGACCACGGGGCCGGCCCCCAAAATAGATGTTCTTTTAGGAAGATATATCTGGCAGCAATGTCAAGGATGAACTGCAGTGGAGCCAGTGGCTTGTTGGCCAACAGCCAAATTATAAGGCAGTTGGAATAGTCCAAAATGATATTAGGCCCAAACTAAGGCAGTTTCAGGAATAAGGTGGTCTCAGGAAAGAACGTTGTCAGATAATTAACAGTATCCTCAGATGAGCTTTAGGCAAGGTGGGAAGTAGAGTTTGTAGTTGTTTCTCTAAAGCAGCTCTAATTTAAGAGTTCTCCCTTAGGGAGGAAATACATATATACCACATTTAAAACACAAATAATTTGACAGGAAAAAAAAAAAGTAAAAAAACATACCGAGTTTTATGGGAAAAAAATTAAAAATCTGAATCCAAAAACCAGTGTAAATTCCTAATACTTAGAGTGGTAGTACTTATTCCATATAACTTCCATGTCAATTAATTTGCAAATTGAGGTAGACTCAAAAGTATAACTAATGAATTGTGAGGGGACTTATATATTAGGGCACACGAATGAATCAGAGGGCCACCCATTACCATTTGAAGAGTGTCTTCATGAGATACGTGTCTGCATTCTTTTATCTGTCCTTTATATTCTTTAGTGAATTAGGGATAATATTTTTTACCTTCATGTCTACTTCCAAAAATTTAACTGCAGCCAATGAAGAGTTTTTGTATTTGTTTTTACAGTAGCTAAATGCGAATTATTCTTTAAATTTGGTCAGTGCCTGTAACTAATTTCTGTTTTTCAGAAAAAATTCTAACCAGATTATCTGAAGGAAGACTTGTATAAAATTTCTATATGGATTATACTCTGTTGGATTATTCAGGTTTTTTTGTGTTTTTTTTTTTTTTGGTGAGGAAGATCAGCCGTGAGCTAACATCCATGCCAATCCTCCTCTTTTTGCCGAGCGAGACCGGCCCTGAGCTAACATCTATTGCCAATCCTCCTTCTTTTTTTACCCTTTGTCTCCCCAAAGCCCCAGTCGATAGTTGTATGTCATAGTTGCACATCCTGCTAGCTGCTGTATGTGGGATGCCGCCTCAGCATGGCTGGACAAGCGGTGCGTTGGTGCGCGCCTGGGATCCGAACCCAGGCCACCAGTAGCGCAGCGCGTGCACTTAACCGCTAAGCCATGGGGCCAGCCCGAGATTATTGGTTTTACGTATTTGTTATGCAGCTGAAGAGTTACGTGAGTAACAAATGTCTCATTGGGTAGTGAGTGCTATGTTATGATCTGCCAGGTTTTAGAAATCAAACACGTGGCACAAACATTAACGCCTAATCCATTCCAACAGAGTCTGCCATCTCTCGTAGTAGCATGCACTTATGTATATGTGCATTCTAAATGCTACTACTTATATGTAGACTTTCATTCAGTATTAGGGAACAAAACTGATGGATCTCTAATTTGTATTTTTAGACTTAGCAATGTTATTAAAAATTAATATAAATAACTTTAAAGCCAGTACATGCTAGGATTTAAGGCTAACATGTTTTTCACTTATATGAAAATGTAATCCCCAGAGAGTAGGTACTTTGCTGGTAAAGTGATTGTTACTTGTACTTAAGAATATAAATACCGTTTTTTAGCACTTCTGATCTTTTTAGATTAAGATGACATATTGTAGCATATTCTACCACACACCACTCCCCTGTACCCATAACAGATATTAAGGTATGATATAATTAAAATCACTAGACCTATTTACAGTAACTTCCGTTGAGATCAGAAATGTTCAAGGCAGTGTTCATCAGCATGCTCAATTTAAAAATTTCTAAATGTTTAGTTTTTAATCTGAGTTCAACATATCTTTCCAAACATCATGAGATTCCCTAAGTTTTATGCAAAACTTTCGTGGGACTCGACCTTTTTTTTTCCATGGGAGAAAGACTGGTTTTCATCAGATTCTCACAATGGTTCATGGCCCTAACAAGATTAAGAATCACTGGATCGGAGAATGCATTCTCGTGCTTAATTAGCTTTGTAAGGCTGTAACGAAGTATTGAGTGCCACCAAGAGGCAACCTTAATACATGTTTTGCTTTTGTGTTATTGAATGATGAAAGTGACATTGTACCCATGTATAAATATGTTTCCCTCTCCCTTCATTGCTCTATGTTTTTACAGTGCATTTTAACGGAAGATGGCAGTCAGCATGTGTATAAGAAACTCTGTCTGTGTGCTGGAGCTAAACCAAAGTTGATATGTGAAGGAAATCCTTATGTATTAGGAATCCGAGACACAGACAGTGCTCAGGTAACATTTTGAGGTTAGGTCATGGGAAAGAAACAAGAAGAGTTCTTAGACTTGCCTACATTTGAATCAAAGTGTTTCACTTATAATGTTAATTCCTAAAGTGTAGGAGCAGAAGAGAGGTTTTTTTTGTTTCATGACACGTAAACCAGAAAGTAGTTATAATGTTTTATTACTGCCAATTTCAGTTTGGGTTTAGTTGATAATTTATCTTGTTTTTTAATTCATACTTATGGTCTGTGTTCTTTCCATTATGTGATATCCCAGATATTCTGACTGTGCTGAAGGTTACAACTTACATTGCACACACATTCATTACTCTACTCTGATTGGGAATATGTGATCTGCAACCTAAATAATGTAATGATCTTTTTTCCAAAAGGTAAAGCATATCCAAAACTTACTGAACTTATTCCTCAGCAAAGAAATTAATATTCAGAAGATCTTTGCAGTACAGAATCAGGACAGAATCCTGGAACTGAAAAAGTCACTTGGTTTATTGTTCTCAAGAACAGTGATAAACCATCCCAATAAGGTGCAACTCTATCTGTGGAACCTATACAACTTCTTTTGATAATTGAGTTTAGGGTTTATTGACCCTTATTGCCAAGAAGCTCTTCCTGGTTTCCAATCACAATACTCTGTCTTACCTCAAGCTCATTGTTCTGTCCCATGAGGTGATAATTTTACATTTATATATTATTATTTTGTATTCTTAAAAATGGATGTTTCCTTTCAGCCTATTCTTAATTAAATAATTAAGAATTTAGAGAAAACTGGAAGAACTTGGTTATCTTCTTGTAAACATTTTAGGTTCATATTATCAAAGACTGAGTTCATAACTATGTTCCAGCTAGATCGTCTACATACGTGAACTCATTGAATCCTCATGACAATCCTGTGTGACAGTCATTACTCCCTCTCTACAAATAAGAAACTGAGATGGAGAGATGAAGTCATTTACCTATTCTAAAGTAGTTATTAAGTTTATCAGCGGTACAGTTTAAACTCATGCCATTCATCTCCACGTCCAGTGCTTTTTACAGATCTTTCTTAAATTACCTGCTGCTCTCAGTGAAGGACAAACTAAAATTAACTTCAGTTTTTTTCCTTGTAGAATTTTAAAGAAGTCAATTTCAGTAGTTATTTATTGAGTATTACAATAAGTTTGGGGTTAATTTAATAGAAATGGTAACTTGACATAGTAGGAGGAGGAATTTATTCAGACGTCATCCTGAAACAGTGGGACAATTCTGTACTTTGAAAGTACCATAAGAATGACCACTGGCTTTTCTCTAAGCTCATTGTGATTTTTGGGGGGGTGAGGTGGGGGAGTGGAGGCATCAATTAGCTGTCTTATAATGGTAATAACATAACATTTTTTCAATAAATGTTAGACATTATTATGTCCCTGCTACTCCTAACAACTTTATTTATATCGTATTACTTAATGCTTACTGAAACCGTGAGATATAGTCACTTCATAGTTCCATTTATAGTTGAAGAACCTGAGGCACAGAGAGGTTAAGCAACTTGCCCAAAGTCACCCAGTTAGTAACTGCTAGAGCCAGGGACCCCAGAGTCTGTGCTGTTAACCCCTGTGCTTCTGTGCTGCTCATTCCTGCAAGTTTTAAATGCTGAGCAACTACAGGGAAAGTGTTGACTGAGGGACTAGAAGAAAAGGAAGAATCCTGTATCTAGGATATATAGATCAGTGTCATGTTAGTAAATTGATTTGGTCAAATAGTTGTGAATGTGGTATAGACAGTGCCTCTTGCTGAAATTCTGAAGTACTCCAGATGTAATGACATGAAAGGCAAGGCAAATCAGGAGAGGCATTGCTGTAAAGGCAGTTTGGGGTGAAACAGAGGGGAACATTTGTGATTAATTGGGAGGGTGCATCCTGGCATAGTGGGAAAGTGAGATTTATTATCGGTGAAGCCTCTTGCTTCAGGTGTTGCCCACTCTTACAAAACACTATGTCATTTCTCTTTAATATAGGAATTTCAGAAACAGCTTACCAAGGCCAAAAGAATAATGATCATAGGGAATGGTGGTATCGCACTTGAATTAGTGTAAGTATATATTTTAAAATATTATTTAAAAATTGACTGATTTGTGTGATTATTGGCAGACTAAAAAACATCTTGTTATCCTGAAAATCAAAGAGAAATATAATTGTTTTTCATACATTTTCCAGGAGAAAAATTCACTTTACTTTTTAAGCTTTCATGGAATTCATAGTTGCAGAAATGTCTTTATGAAACATAAGAGTTTAGGGAATGCTTTAGGTCTCAAAGGGTCATAACTGGTGACTGGCTAGATTTGATGCCTACATTCTATGCTTATAAAGCATGTACTATATTGAAAAACATTTTAAATGTGTACACCTTTAGAGATTTCTAGTCATAGTCTCCACCCCTTTTTATTGCTTATGCCCATCCTGCTTCACTCATTGATGTTACCATCTGGCCCATGAAATCCAGTGTTTATGACTCAGTCTATTTCAGGATGTGTGGTACTCCCAGCTCTTGGTTTTTGGAAGTGTGGGAAATGTAAACACATTAATTAATATGAAATATTATCATCTTAAGCTAATATTTCAAGTTCAAAAAACATTGAGGAATATCATAGCCTGCTGTGGTCCACAGAGCACTGATTCATTTTCTTTGTGATTTTATCCTCCAGCAGATGGCTGACATGGAATAGTCTGGATATTTTTCAGGCCAGAAAGTTGGGTCCGTCTACAAAAAGGACAGATTCGATTCAAAATAAGGAATCTGCCAATGCCCTGTCTTTGCTCACTTCCATCCATTCCAACTCTCAGACTAGATTTTTATCCTGCTTTTTTAGAGGAGGTGAATCCAGAGGAAGCATGAAAGAGTTCTTAAATTGCCTGAGTACTAGGAGTGGTAATCATTATTGTAATTATGAAGTTTGTGGCGTTGTGTGGAGAAATGCAGAGAAAAAACTAGGGAGTCAAAACCAAACTGGGCCAAGAGAGGGCACAGGTTTATTGTAAGAGAGGCTTCAAATCCTTGTGTACACATGACAGATTTTCTCTATCAGCTATCACCAAAACTATAACTTAATACTATTATTTATTATTACTATTACTAATAGTAATACTATTATACTATATGCTATACTATTACACTATAATACTATAATAGTAATACTATTATACTATATGCTATACTATTACACTATAATACTATAATAGTAATACTATTATACTATTACTATTATTATTTATAATTATTATTATTTATTATTGAAAAGCTTTCTTACATTCAAAAATGTTCAAAGTCTCAACTTTAATCTTGTTCCTCACTTTCTTTAGGTTGGAGATTGAAGACTATATAATTGGACAAAATTCATAATTTTATATTCATTGAACTCGTTGATAGTGTGAGAAAGGTCCCATATAGTGCTATTCTCTCAGTTTAGGTTCACTGAATGATTAGGCCTTTGTTTTCTCTTGATGAAAAATGATGTAATCAAACCCTTTCTGCTCTTTAATAGCCCCTGTGTTCCACTGAGGCTAATACTAATTTTCTTCAGTATACTTTATTTCACTTACTATTCTGTTTTCTTCTTTCCAAGTGTAGGTTAATCCTTTCCTTTTCAAACAGACATAGTTTTTCATAATTTCACAAATCTATCATTCTTCACTGTTGTCTGTTTTTTAAGAGCGGTTTTAAAAATGAAAGCAGTATTTCCCCTCTGTATGATGATACTTTCGTGCTTGCACATCTTTCTGAGGACATCGTTCATAGGGTAAGAGGACTAGAGGGTGTCCTGTGAGGTAGAGCATGTACAGGAGTTACTTGTTGTGGTTACTTATAATCACTCTGGCCTGCTAGTCAAGCATTAGTATTTTAAGCTATACTGATATGTGTTACACTGCTATATTACTTTAAAATACGAAAAATGGTAATTAGAGAAATTTCCAATTTATAGAAGTTAAGGAAAGCATTTCATGATAACTTTGTGCCTATATATAAATTGAAATATAAAATTTATTACCAAATGCATATGTATTCTGCTTTCTGCTCATCAGCAATACTATATGACTGGAGCAGCATAAAATACAATATTCTCCAAATAATCTGAAATTTAGTAACTATAAATAATCTTTGCTGGCATAGGAGAGCAGGAAAAATAAAGGCCCATTGGATGAGACGAGTGACTCCTTTACTATATGCTGAAAGGCATGAACATCAGGTCACCTGGAGTCAGATGTACTAAACCTTCTTTTTTCTATCATCTGCTTATTGATTAGCCTTGAAAAGTCATAAAACCCGTGTTACATTATATCAGTCTGTGAAATGAAGGTGGCAATACTTTGTACCATAAATGTTAAAAATTAATATTAACACACAGTACTCTTATTACCATTGCATTTTCAAATAAAATCCTAGCATAGTTAGGGTGACTATATATCCTGTTTGTGCAGGATTGTCCCAATTCATCAGTTGTACCAAAACAAGTCTTAATAGCAGATAAATTATAATGGACTTCAGAGACTTTGTGAAATAAATATTAAGAAAACCACATTCTCAATGTCCAAACCTAGAGATAAAACAGCAGATGCCCAGGAGCTCTGGCTACCTCACGAACGGTAATGGAAGGTGGCTTATGTATACCATGGCCATTCCTTTCTTCCTCTAAGATCCTTGATTTTTCTGTGAACTGGATCTTTCTTTGTCTAGATGGCTTGGAAATTTCTGAGATGAAGGGAATTAATTGCAGGGTAGTGGTTCCTTTATAACAAAGTCAAGATTTTAGTTTATAACTCTAATTCTCTCCTTTTTCTATCTCATTCCATAATGTCGTGCTTTGAGTACATAAAATATTTGTTACCAAAGAAGTCAGCTGTTCTCAGTATTGTACCTGTATACCATCCATCCATCCATCCATTACTGATTACACTTTAGCCAGATAAAGCACTGCTCACTCCTGGGAACGCTGGGGGATTTCATCTAATAACTATGTTATAGAAGTTGAACACTTTGAAGTGATATTCATTGTAATGAAATTTTACCTGATATTCAGTACATGTATTTGCCACTTACATGTTCTTTCAATAAACTGGTTAAATTTCTTTTATTATTTATTCCACTTTAACTCTTATTATCCTAAAAGAGTATTTCATCTCTTTTTATAATCATTCTTCCTCAGTTTGCCTTAAAATACTTTCTTTACTTTTGCCTTAGGAGATAATTGTTATTTGCAGATACAAAGATTTCTACTCAGACTTTTGAAATTGCACTAAGTAACTTTAATATTCCTCTTAGGTATGAAATTGAAGGCTGCGAAGTAATTTGGGTCATTAAAGATAAAGCTATTGGGAACACTTTCTTCGATGCAGGAGCAGCCGAATTCTTGACTTCAAAGCTCATTGCTGAAAAACCAGAGGCTAAAATTGCACAGAAAAGAACCAGATATACAACTGAAGGTAAATATAGCATCTAGCTCATTAGTTAACAGGTGAAACTGTTTCTTTTTTTAACTGTATAGAAAAAGGCTGTAAGAAAACTTAACAAAATATTATATTTGGGAGATAGGAATATAGATAATATTTATATCTTTGTGTGACTTTTTAGGTTTTCTAGAATATGTATGTATTTTTATGAAAAATATGTATAACTAAAATTGGAAATTTAAAGTGAATTAAATAAAGCAGCCCATCTGCATCTTTGCAAACAGATGCTACAATTGGACAACACCTAAGGTAATTTTATAAAAGATGCAATGAGTTTAAAAACAAATACAAGCCTGACAGCTTTTTAGTTTAAAGAGCTTTTCTTTTTTAATAACTTTTGGCTTATAAAATTCAACAAGAACTTTGTAAGTTTGGGGAGTGCTAAAAATGGACAAAATTTTCAAAATTTGATGGCTAATTTTCTTACCAGTCATATTAACCAGTGTATATAACATCCAAAAAGCACTGTGAGTGTGTTTATACTCAACACTCGATTGAAAGATTATCCATTTTATAGCTCTACATCACAAAATATTAAAATAATGAATGATTACTGTAGATAGTTCAGTCATGCTGTATGTATGAGAATCATTACATTGCCTAAAAGTTTCAGAACATAAGCATAATTCTCTGCCTGGCAGTTTCTCTGTCATTTGAATTTTGAATTGAGTTTCTTTTCAGGAAGGAAAAAGGAAGCACGAACCAAAGCTGATGCTGCTCATGTCGGCAGTGCCCTGGGACCTGACTGGCATGAGGGCTTGAATCTTAAAGGAACAAAAGAGGTATGTTTTCATATACTGATTAAACATGTCTAAATGCAATTTTAAATTCTTGAAACGTTTGTTGAAGACCAGTTACAAATACATAGTCAAAGAATTGCCAGGTCACTTCACTTATAATCCAGAGTGCTAGGAAAGGACTCAATGCCACTTGGCCCAGTTGCCCACTAAAGATAGCTGAATATTAAATTCATCTAAACTGACTCTCAGCCTTCTTTTTAACTGTCCAGGGATAAAGATCTCCATACACAGACTACGGTGAATACCCCTGTCCTCTTTTAAAATAATCTTTTCTCAAAGGTCACTTCAGATGCACTACATTATTTTAAAGGTTATTAGATTCTAAATAAAATATACATTTAGTATCCTAATTGGATAAGCAGATGACTTGCCTTTATTCATTTTATTTACTAGATATTTTAGTTTTTTAATAGTTGTTAAAAGGCTGTGATACTTAAATATTGTAAGAAGCATACAGGCAGTCTTTATTACTGTGTGTGATTTCTTTTCAGCCTTGGGTAGGTTGGAGTGGGGCTGACTTCATGGAATATCCAATTTTTGTGATGAAAGTTATGCAAAATCATTCCTTCCTGCACCTTCCTCAACCTGAGAACTTCCAACGGTTTAGTTCAATAAACATTTATTGAGTATCTCCTACCTAACTGGCCCTTTACTAAGGTTCTGGGATAAAACAATAAGTCGACATAGACCTGCCCTCAAGAGAGTTTTATAGTCTCTAACAGTTGTAATTTTACAAAATATACGTGCAATTCTCAATGAGGCTTATACTAAAAAGCATGTCCGTGGTGCCGCCTGCTTCTGCTCATTCCCTTCATGCACAGAAAATGAGAAGGTTATTTTTGGGCATCCAATGTGTTTCCATTTATATTTTTAAGAATTGTTTTTTTCTGTATTTTCTACAAGTGTATTATAAATTTTGTTTTCATCATCAGTAATACAAGTCATTCTTTCTGGAAGTATTATGGTGACCAGTATTTCTTTATTTTAGTTTTCTCATAAGATTCACATTGAAACTATGTGTGAAGTAAAGAAAATCTACCTTCAGGAAGAATTGAGAATTTCTAAGAAAAAGTCCTTGACTTTTCCAAGAGACCGTAATACTCAGTCAGTTTCAACTGATAAAGGTAAGTAATGAAATACGAAAAAATATCTGACCACTTATTTAAAAGGAAGACAACTTAATCTTGCTATGTTATATTAAAAAACAACAAACTTCAGATTTTCATATAAAATTTAAACATGAAAAGTAAAAATCATAATTTAATAAGTCATTTCATTTTCACTACTTATTTGTAAGTTTTCTAATAAATTGTATAGAGCTTTACATTTTACATAGGGCTCATTTGTGTTTTGACCATCATAACCCTGTGAGTTAATCAGAATATCTTGCAGATCAAAACAAAATAAACAAAAACTAAAAAACCTGATGCTCTCAGAGGTGAAGTGATTTCCCCAAAATCAAACAGACTGAAAAATCTGTAAATTTGGAACCAAGACACAGATCTAATTCCCTTTCCACACTCTTGTGAGAACTGCTGTCCTTTGAAGAAATACACTCAGCCAAACCTAGTGTATGAGATATTCTATGGTTTTGAATTTTTCCATAGAAAAACGGGGTTAACGTTAGAGTTTGAATATGAGTAGTAAGGGAAAACGTTGAAAAGTGAGTAATCTAGTTGGACTAAACTCTCAGTGGAATATAACCTATTGTAAAGATTTCTAAAAAAATAATTTATAAAGTGATTGTCAATTTAAATTTACTTTGTTAGAACTTCTTTGTCTAAATTTGAAGGAAAAATGTGTAGAGTGCCATAATTTTATAGTTATACCTAAAACAAGGAGCGGGTGTTGATTGCATTAAAATTGTTTTTAGCAAATGTACCTTATAAAAATTAAGGGATGTTGTTTTAAAGTCATCTCCTGCCTGCCTTTTTCTTTCTTTCTCTGTTCTAGTCATTATAGTCACATAATGCTATACACAGTTGGTGGTGATTACATTTGAGAATAAAGTCTTTTTTTTTTTTTTTAAGAGATATGGCCTGTATATGTGGAATTGACCAATGAAAAGATATATGGCTGCGATTTCATTGTCAGTGCTACAGGGGTTACACCAAATACAGAACCTTTCCTCTGTGGCAACAATGTAAGGTGAAAATTTTTGTCCCACTATGAATACTTTTAAACTATTAATTATTTATGAAGAGCTCTAATTCTCAAGTGTGAATAATTGTTCATTGTTTTAGCACAAAACTGTAACTTAAGGTGGGTGAAAACAATTTAGTTTATATTCATGTCTTGATTTGCAGTATTTTTTACTGCTTCAAGTCCTTAAGCAGTTAACATCCCAGCATTAAGTGTCATTAATGGGACATAATGCAGAATTTATTTATCTATATGTTGGTAAGAGACTGACACTTCCTTTGAATTCTTAAAAGTGATATTTCTAGAGAAACCATCTTGTATTTTTTGCTTTTTAGCATTTGAAGCTTACAAAAACCGAAGAATATTCTTGTAATTATGAGTGGGGTAGTCATATGGTTATTGGGTATTTTTGATGTTGACATTCTAAGAATTTTGTGGGTTTGTCTTAGTAGGAATTTGATTCCTTGGAAATTCAGCTTAGTTGTCTAAACTTTGTGGCTATTTTTCACTTTCTCATTAAAGATCAACATATCAAGGTGTAAACATTTGACTTGTTCTTTTACTTAAGAATGAGAGTCATATTTCATTCCTTACCACATACGCTTACGAGGAACATTGTTTAGTTTGATCTAGGAGAAGATGGTGGCCTGAAAGTGAATGATCATATGGCCACGTCCCTTCCTGACATCTATGCTGCAGGTGACATCTGCACTGCCTCCTGGGAACCCAGCCCAGTGTGGCAGCAGGTAAGCCAGCGTACATGAGCCCATGCTTTTTTCCAAGATTCCATCCGAAAACAAAGGAGCTGCTACCAGGAAATCCAACGTGCTGGTTTTCCAACTTTTCTACTTTAAGTAGGAAGCTATCATTGAGTTTTTTGCGACTTAAAAAAAAAAACAAAACTAGAATTGTTCCCTTTTGTTAAGTTACTGTTATAGTGATGGAATAGATGGGATATCTTAATTTAAAAAGAATTATGGGCTATTATTTTGTTTTTCATTCTCAGATGCTTATCAGCACTGTCCAGTGGGACTTTTTGTGATAACAGAAATGTTCTGTACTTTTGCAGTGTCCAGTCAGGTAGTCACTAGCCACATGTGTCTTTTGAACACTTGAAATGTGGCTAATGTGACTGAGGAACTGAATTTTAATTTTATTTACTTTTAATTAATTTAAATAGCTGCATGTAGCTAGTGGCCACCATACTGGACAGCACAGCTTGAGATTAAAAAACAAACTACTGAGATTATAAACCATACAGATAAAGCATTCTGTTCCTGTAACCCTATTCTATCCCTGTGGGAATTATTACTAAAAAATGTTCCTATAATGAACAGCCTTCCTCAGCCTAACAGCTCCTTCCAACTGGATCTAGACTTCCTCCTGCCCCCACAGTGTTGCCTGTCTCCTAATGGTGGAGCAAAAATACTAGAGGAAGACACTCAACGGTGGCCATAGGTGAGGTGGTCTTAGGAGTGGAGACATAGGTAGATGTTACAGATAAAAGAACCAATCCACACTTACCTTGGTGAAAGACCAGCTGCTCAGGTAGAGATATTATTCATTCAGATTAACCGTGGAATGTGAAGTAATAGAAGATCTAGATGTATTATAAGAGGCAGCTTCATTGTGTGTTTTTACATACAGCAGAAATAACATCAACAAGAGAGTGCTTTCAACCTGTGTCTAAAATGCTTCCAACTACCTTGTTTTCAGTTGTCTCTATAACCATCCTGTCATTTTTTGTGGCATATCTGTCACAAACTCTCAATTAGGAATTGGAGTTTGTGGGATTTTTTTTTTTTTTTTGGTGAGGAATATTGGCCCTGAGCTAACATCTGTTGCCAGTCCTCCTGGTTATTTTGCTGAGGAAGATTCGCCCTGGGCTAACATCCGCACCCATCTTCCTCTACTTTATATGTGGGACACCTGCTACACCATGGCTTGATAAGCAGTGCATAGGTCCGCACCCAGGATCCAAACCTGCAAACCCCAGGCTGCTGAAGCGGAGTGCGCAAACTCAACCACTATGCCACCAGGCTGGCCCCTGTGGGATTTTTTTTAACTTTTTAAACCCTCTAGGAGGGCCGGCCCCGTGGCTTAGCGGTTATGTGTGCGCACTCCGCTGCTGGCGGCCCGGGTTCGGATCCCAGGCGTGCACCGACGCACCGCTTCTCCGGCCATGCTGAGGCTGCATCCCACATACAGCAACTAGAAGGATGTGCAGCTATGACATACAACTATCTACTGGGGCTTTGGGGGGAAAAAAAATAAAATTATAAAAAAAAAAATAATAATAAACCTTCTAGGATAAATTATATCCTTAATCTGCATCATACTCTGATATAGGAAAGAAATATCCAAAAATAAACAAGTGTCTCTTGTTTTGAGTGAATCTGATAGACCCCCATCCCTTAATTTGCAGAAGCAATAAGTACACTAATAATTTGTTCTACATAGTCCAAGATGCAAACTTAAGAGACTTTGAGGCTGGAATACGTTAGTCCAGCAGTGTAATATTGCGAGGAGCTTCTATTAGCCATTCTCTAGTTGTTACTATGCTCAGTTTACTCTGCTCCTTACCATAGACTGCCTGTTACTTCATCAAACCTACCTTGTTTACAGAAAGGAGACTGAATAAAATCTGTCACTTCTACCAGAAGTGCTTGAAGCTCGTGTCCATGATTGTGGTATTATTTTTGCACACAAAAAGATGGCATTAGTTACACACACACATAGGGGTATAAGGAAACTAGTTGCTTATTGTAGGCTAACCTGTTTAATTCTCCCAATAGCCTTGGAGGTGGTGGTGTATGTTTATGTTTCAAGTGAAGAAATTGAGGCTCAAAAAAGTTAAATAAATATGTAGAAGAGTTGATATGCAAATCTACTGACTTCTAAGGCCAGTGTTTTCTTATACCAGGGAATCCCAAAACTTTGTAGAAATACAATAAAAACACAGTAGAGGAGAATTTAAAATGACTTCCCAGAATCAGTTGCTGACATTTGATATGCTGTCTTGGGGCTGGGCACCAACTGTTACATCTGTCTGACCACTGAGGTTAAATTGCATGGTAGACCTTAACTCTCTAGCACCAAAAAATCAGCACTGGGAAAAGGAACAGAGTTTTCAGTGGTAATTTGGCATCTCTATTAATGCTGATGATAAACTTACCCTGAAGAGGGAACTGGTTAATTAAAATGTTATTCTCACTTGGTGTAGCCTAAAATATTTTAGCAATTTTTTAATAGAAATTTTATTGAAACATATAGAATTGGTATCATCTTTTGATTTTAGAGGCAGTAATTTAGATAGAATTATCAAATACCAAAATCATTTTGGTTAGTGTGGATTGCAATTGCTTCTGTGGCAAAGATGATCCAACCAGTCATCTAACTTAGCTAGATATAACGGATCTCAAGGACTGTCCAACACTGAACCCCTTTAAGGAATTGTAATTACAAGGTTAAGGTGATGTTAAATTATATTGCTCACATGTTTTTATTTCAGATGAGGCTGTGGACCCAGGCTAGACAGATGGGATGGTATGCAGCCAAGTGCATGGCGGCAGCTAGTTTAGGAGACTCCATTGACATGGATTTCAGCTTCGAACTTTTTGCTCATGTAACAAAATTTTTTAACTATAAGGTAAGATAGATAAACAAATTAGTGCCTTTTCTGCTTGTTATTCTTGTAACTATGATCATCTAGTTTTCTCACTTGAATAAAAATTACATGTATTAATCATATTACAAAAAATGACATTTTCTCATTTCTTGCAAATCAATACCTGGTATTATTGCTGGTCTTAATACTTAATTATCTGATCATCATTACCTACCTTCCCACTATACTATTTTACAGTTAAGGGAGGAAAAAAAACCTCTTCCAGATTTGTTCCCTGTTAGTGCATTTCTAAATTTTACTTGAGATTCATTCCTTCTCTGTGAGGGGAACTATTAGCTAGTGTACTCAAGAATGAACCAAGTGCTTTCCCACACATTTTTTCTTACTTAATCCTCTTTACTCTGAGGCAGGTTTTTTCTCCCTCATTTACTGATAAGGAGAAACACACACATACAAACACATACACAAGGTTCAGGGACAGTAAGTAATTTGCCCATGAACCATCTAACTCAGTTCCTTATTAAATCTTTAAATCATGACTTCAGGCTAATGTAGTCCACATCGTACTTATTTGTATCTTCATTAGATATTTTTAATGTTCATATAGATTATGTGGTATTATCATCTGTAGGATAAATGCATACCATTCAGATCTTTTCTTTGGAACTCTCCCCAGTGACACTTTTAGCTATAAAATTTTGTGAACAGATTTTTTGCTTGCCATTCTAGATAACACAAAATAACTGCATATTGTGTTTCCTTTTCGGTACTTACTAGAGTAACTTTTTTACCCCTATATAAATATAGGTTGTATTGCTGGGAAAATACAATGCACAGGGCTTAGGTTCAGATCACGAATTAATGCTAAGATGTACCAGAGGACAAGAATACGTCAAAGTCGTCATGCAAAATGGGCGAATGATGGGAGCTGTCCTAATTGGCGAAACTGACTTAGAAGAAACATTTGAAAACTTGATTTTAAACCAGATGAATCTTTCATCATATGGAGAAGATCTACTGGATCCAGATATTGATATAGAAGATTATTTTGACTAAAAAGAACATTTCAAGAACCACATCAAGTTCCAAATAAGACAAAATGTCACATGTCAATAAAGTAAATGACTGTACTGATTTAATGATGACCACATTGAAGTTAAAAATACAGAAGTGATAATGATTTCGGGGGAAAATATTAAAAAATAACAATTTCTAAAGATAAAATCAATTCAAATTAACTTATTTACAGATATTTTTTCTAACACAAAATTGACCACTTATGTAAGAATTCTCAAGTTATTCATTTCTGTGTTTAATAGTTTTAGACACGTTCATTTGTGACTTAGCTTTACAGCAGATTTAGCTAGGTTGTTATCTACTTAGCCAACAACTTGGTCTTGGTTAGTAGACGAGAGCCAGTCTGTAATTGTGAAATGTCAAAATAGGGCTGTGGTTTCAGGAAGCTTATAATTTTATTTTACTTAGAGATGTAGCAGTATCTTACTTGCTAATATTATTTGTATTGATACTTTATTCCCTTTTTGTCTGGATTCTATAGCTGTTATATCCTGAAATCACTCACTTTCTGTGATGAGCCTGTGTAAATTTTTCAGTATAATAACACTGCTATCAAAAGATAGTTAGGTGGGGCTCGGTCCCGTGACTTAGTGGTTAAGTGCGCAGGCTGCACTGCTGGCGGCCTGGGTTCGGATTCCGGGCACGCACCGACTCACTGCTTGTCGGGCCATGCTGAGGCAGCATCCCACATACAGCAACTAGCAGGATGTGCAACTACAACATACAACTATCTACTGGGGCTTTGGGGAGAAAAAGGGGAAAAAAAAGGAGGAGGATTGGCAATATGGCAATAGATGTTAGCTCAGGACTGGTCTTCCTCAGCAAAAAGAGGAGGATTGGCATGAATGTTAGCTCAGGGCTGATCTTCCTCACAAAAAAAAAAAAAAAAAAGTTATGTGAAAAGAAAAAAATACAGCCAGACATATCAAGATATCAAGGCGTAAAAAGCTTAAGATAGTTATGTGAACTTTCTTTTAAGAATTTTACATTTAAAGGATTTTACATAAAAATTTGTTTTCCCTTGTTTCATACTGTAAATTTATACAATTCATGCCCTCAAATTTTTAAAAGGTCTCAAATTCACAAGTCTTCAACACTTTAGAGATAAGTTCTTAAAATATAGCTCCATTTGTACAAAATATTAATGAAATTGTCTTAAAAATTAACCATTTGATTTAAAAAAAAATGGTGTAAACATGCATAAACTATTCTATTCTTGGAAAATTCAGAAACACTCATCTCTTGCATCATCAATTTTTCTTTTCTTAGCCCCTGTCTTCTTAGACTTAGATTGTTGAAGCATGTTTGCAGACTTCTTCTGGAAGTTACTTGAATTTTTTTCTTCCCTCTCTTCATTAGCTCCTTCGGGATGACAAGTTTGTGATGGTTCAGTCTACAAAAAAATAACAAAACAAACACTCTGGTAAAAATTCAGCTATTCTGTTTTCTCATGAGATGATTAATAATCTCAATAGTCCATCTTTATCAGCTAGCTCTTTAAGTGTGCAGTGGTCTGGTTTTTTTCTTTAAATTTCTGCTCAAATATGAGCCCCATCTTTTTTTTTTTTTGTGAGGAAGACCAGCCCTGAGCTAACATCTATTGCCAATCCTCCTCCTTTTTTTTTTTTCTTCCCCCCCCAAAACCCTAGTAGATAGTTGTATGTCATAGTTGCACATCCTAGTTGCTGTATGTGGGACACGGCCTAAGTATGGCTGGAGAAGTGGTGCATCGGTGCACGCCCGGGATCCGAACCCGGGCTGCCAGTAGCGGAGAGCGCGCACTTAACCGCCAAGCCACGGGGCTGGCCCATAATATGAGCCCCATCTTGATTAGAAGGGGCTGTGCTGTCAGAGAAACCCTAAAGAACACCTGAAGCATCCTTAAACACAACGCTACATGGCATGCTTCTGCAGGCTTGACAGTATTTATAACAGTAGTTTTCAACCTCTGCCGCAGAGGCAGACTTCTCAACCAAATACTGATCACAATTGATATCATGAGGGCAGGTGCATCACAAAATTAGACATTAAAATGGGGTCTTCATATTCCAAAAGGTTGGAAACCCCTCATCTACGTTAAAAGGCTAGTCTAGGGGGCCAGCCCAGTGGCATAGTGGTTAAGTTCACAAGCTCCACTTCGGCAGTCCGAGATTCGCAGGTTCAGATCCCGGGCACAGACCTACGCATGGCTCATTAAGCCATGCTCTGGTGTCACCCCACATACAAAACAGAGGAAGATGGGCACAGATGGTAGCACTCGGGGCCAATCTTCCTCACCAAAAAAAAAAGAAAAAGAAAAAAAAAAAAAGCTAGTCTAAACTCTTCCATTTAATGTCTCTACTGAAAACAAAGGTATGTTTTTTCATTCCCACACCCAGATTCTAAGAAGAAAACTGACTTATCTCTTATGTTCAGCTGGACCTAAAGAGTACTAGTTAAAGAAAAGTATCTCATAGGCTTTAATGTGTTTTTAAATATATAAAAATTGAAAATTAATAGTCAGTTACCCTGAAACAGCTCTCCGTGGGCTTCTTTACTTGCATGCTGATAATATGTGCCTCATTGTTCAGAAGATCAGCTTTAGGGCCTACTTTCAAATATACAATAGTAGCGAAAGCTGTGAAACTGTAGTCTTCTCTGAGAAAATAAAGGCCAACAATCAGATTTTCAGGAGTGACAGAAAACAAACCGAAACTTATAAAAACCGTAAGTGCAATAGTTTTAAGTAACACATTGATATGAAATAATGAAACTTATAAAAAAAAGCAATTTATGGCAAATATTTTAGTTTTCTGCTGTTTTGCCATATAGTGATCAATTAAAGTTTATTAGGTAAATTTTGTACAGGAAACGTGCACAGGAAACAACTGCAAAAGCATTCTGTTGGAATTATAAAAATGAGAATCATAAAGACTCAAATCATGTTTTGTGGAGGAAAATATTTTATCCTTTTTTACTTTGCCAATTTGTGATTCTTGTGATTGAATAAACCATCATTTTTAGATACTGATTTTGGACATGTTACCATTTTATTTCTTCTTAAGTTTAATATATCTCCTATTTATGGATACTGAGATATAACTAATGCCTGTAACGTCTTTCCTTATTTCTAAAATTAAGATAGTGAGAATGTCTGTTCTCCCCATCTTACAATGTTGCTAAGATTAAATGAGGTAAAATATGTGAAAATTATTTATAATATATCAAGTATTATGCAACTGTTACTATTATTGTTATATATCCAAATTAGGATTTTTCTTCCAAGTAATCTCTTTGGAAGAATATATAGTGTGCTGTTAAAAAAAAATCATAAGGACAAGAAATGGGTTTGTATATACTTAAGATACTGGTGTAGAAGAAAGTGCACAATCATTTGCTCCAGGTCTTCACGAGGAAGTGTGGGAGGAACAACACCTGCTACTCGGAATTTTGCTGCCCCCTTTCCCGTCCAAGAATCAATCAGTTTCAGTGGAGTGAGCCTTTCATTAAGTTTCTCTGCCTGCTTCAGGATCTTGATTAGATCTCTGCAATACGCTGTTATATCCTTTCTTTCAAATGCTATAATGAAAGAGACATGGTTATAGGCAATTGGGATTTAGAAAGTAAGAGCAAGGACAGGCTATCCTAAGTGGGTAAACTGGTTTAAAAATTAGTCCTCAACGTGAGCCATCCTAAACATTGATTTGTAAATGTGTTCTGAATTAAGACTAGGCTATTCCTCAAGTCTCCATCACTAGACTAAATTATAGTCTCTGGAAGACATGTGGGATTTACAGTGATGTAAAGAAAAGAACCTGGTTATCAGAAGGCCTATAGGTATGCGCTAGGAACCAAAGAGTGTCTGCCAGGCATGATGATGGCAGATACTAAGAGGTGTTTATAGGAGAGTCAGTCTGTTCTTCAGATTTATCTGATTTGTGCTCCTTAAGCCATATTCTGAAAACTAGTAGGGCTTCATAGGTACTCTGCTTTAGAGACATGAATGTGTTGGACAGATATCCCCAATTATTAGTTGATACAGCACTCTGATTTATGTATCACGCTCTTGTTAATTTGGTCAGCTTAACAGTTTAGTGAACTCATAAACAAATAAGTTTCTCTAGCTGCAAAGTTCAAGCTGTAGTGACCACCCACCAAGGCATCAGAACTCAATGAGGAACTGGTTAGTCCAGCTCTTCAAATAAGACATATACACACAAGTTGAAAAAAAGTTAAATACAGTACTAAAACACTGCTAAATTGGTGTCTTATGAGTAGTTAGCCATTATCTGAATCAAAAATGATTGCCTGTATTTTGCAATAAATTTCTCTTCCCAATCAGTGACTATAAAGCATTAGAGATTATCATCATAAGGTAAGCCATAAATATATAAATATTGCATTTCTATTCAGAGGGATTTAAACTTTTTCCTTCATTTCTTAAAAATTTCACATACGCTCAGTATAGCAATATAAAGTATATGCATACACATACGGCTTTTCCTTTTATTTGCCTTTGTTTCAAAACTTTGGGGCCGGCCCCGTGGCTTAGCGGTTAAGTGCGTGTGCTCCGATGCTGGTGGCCCGGGTTCGGATCCCGGGCGCGCACCGACGCACTGCTTCTCCGGCCATGCTGAGGCCGCGTCCCACATACAGCAACTAGAAGAATGTGCAACTATGACATACAACTATCTACTGGGGCTTTGGGGGAAAAAATAAATTAAAAAAAATAATTAAAAAAAAAAAAAAAAACAAAACTTTGTGTTACTACTTTTAAATCGAGAAAATTCTATTCACACCTTGTTTAATTTTTTACATCCATTTTGGGGTCTAAAACTGCCCTCATGTAGTCCCAGCTATATATATTAGCCTATAAAGATTTAAAAAACAACAAACTCACAAATTTCTTTACAGCAATTATCACACATTTTGTTACATGCTTCTGAATTCCATACTTCATCAAAATGTTGAGCTATCAATACACGGCGACATCTGCAAACATGTTTGGAGATAAAAAAAAATCATTAAATGATCTAATCAAGTTTTAAGAATCCCTATTTCAAAATACAGGGTTATATATTGTCTTAGTTTCCTATTGTTGCCATAACATTGCCATAAACTTAGTGGCTTAAAACAACACAAATTTATTATCTTACATTTCTATAGGTTAGAAGTCTGACATGGGTCTCATTGGGTTAAAATCAAGGGGTCAGCAGGGCTGGATTTCTTCTGGAGGCTCGAGAGGAGAATCTGTTTCCTTGCTCTTAATTTCTAAAGACTGCCTGTATTCCTTGGCTCATGGCCCCCTTTCCTCCATCTTCAAAGCCAACAACAATGGGTTGAGTCTTCACATCACATCACCCCGATCTCTTCTACCTCCTACACTTACAGACCCTTGTGATTATACTGGGCCCACCCAAATATTCCTGGATAATCTCCCTATTTTAAAGTCAGCTGATTAGCAACCTTAATTCCATTTGTAACCTTAATTCCCTTTTGCCATGTAAGGAACATACTCACAAGTTCTAGGAATTTGATGTGGACATCTTTGGGGGACCATTATTCTGCCCACCACATATAATTTTTCCCATATGTACTTGATAAACATTGCTTTTAAAAAGCTGTCCAAGATTCATTTTGAAATTCAGTATTTTATAACTAGTAAGAGAATCTTTCTGATAGCAAAGCAGTTTCTTGTATTTTACAATATCAATTTGAGTCTAAACCCCAAAATATGCTTCATGGGGGTCTACTGGACATCTAAGGAAATTTTCATTTTCTCATTTCTTTATTGTAGCATCTATAGGAAGGAAATACCATTTTCTGTCACTGTGCGATTACCACTTATCATTTCAAAATTTTTGAGTCCTCTTTACATGATGGGCAATAAGAGGACAAAGGTGACTAAGACCAAGAAGCCATCAGGGAACTACATAGTCTTAACTGAAGCCACTCTAAATAGATTTAAATTTATTTCTTAAGGAGAAACTTGACCCTGGTCTCAACTATTTCATCAACCCATCAGCTGGTAGGATGGTAAGTGTTACTGAGCTCGACTCTCAAAATGCCTCTGATACACCTTTTCAAAATTATTAAAGCTTGTAGCTGTACGCCAGTGCCAGAGAGAAAAGGCTTGAACTCACTGTCAATGTGTATCAAAATCTTCAATAAAAAATAATTTAGGCGGCCGGCCCAGTGGCACAAGCGGTTAAGTGCGTGTGCTCCGCTGGGGCGGCCCGGGGTTCGCCGGTTCAGATCCCGGGCGCACACCGACGCACCGCTCGTCAAGCCATGCTGTGGTGGCGTCCCATATAAAGTGGAGGAAGATGGGCACAGATGTTAGCCCAGGGCCAGTCTTCCTCGGCAAAAGAGAGGAGGATTGGGAGATGTTAGTTCAGGGCCGATCTTCCTCACAAAAAAATAATAATAATAATAATAATTTAGGAGATTAAAGAGAGAAAGAGGATATGTTTTCCTGGATTCAGGCAGATCCTGCAGCTTCCTGTACTGGTTCCCACCCTTCAGACATCTGCTTTTACAGGTTTGCACTTGATGTTCTATCAACGTATTTACTCACTTTAGTAAGTACTCAAAGTAACATCATATACTTGCATATTGTGCCTGTCTTTAATTGCTAAACGTTATAAAAAGGTGTGTGGCTTACTTCCTTATGTTTTGACAGTACGACACCATCTCGTAAAGCTTCTGTTGTCCCACATTTTCCATCACCACCATTGAACTTATTCTGAATACATCTCCAAAGCCGTAATACAGAATACAGTCTGCTTTCACGTCGTCTCGACCTGCAGCGTGAGACATCTGGGCATTACTGAATTACTTTCAACATTCAAACGTGCAAAAGGAATATATGTAAAATTAGTTAGCAATGCTTCATGGTCTAAATATATCACATCTAGAAATTTCAGACAGAGACATGAAACTTAATTTGTAACAGCTGCCCTCAAATTTAAAGAAAAATGACTAAAGAGACTTATCAACAATCAGTTTTATTAGTTTAAAAATGTGTCCATAAGTAATCCAGTTTTTTAAGTCATAGACTTGAAACGACTAATTAAAAATTCAGGAGGCAAAGATGGACATCAAATTATCTCAGCAAACATAAGGAGAAACAATTTATAACTACCCAATAGAACATAAGTAAAATTTCTCCACTGGCAAATAAACATAAAACTGTAAAGAAAACTTTATTGTTCTAAAAATACTAGCCAATAAGAAGATTTTTACAGAATTATTAAACATAGTGTGTTTTCTGGAAAAGCTTTTTTAAAAATTACTTCTGGATATGAGTTATAATACCTGCACGTCCACTCTCTTGATAATAATTTTCCATAGATTTACTCATTGAATGATGAATAACAAACCTCACATCTGGCTTATCAATTCCCATACCGAATGCAACCGTTGCCACTACTACCTGAAATGTTTTAACATTTTATATGTTAATTAAGTCAAGGTAAAATATTTTTAAAGGTGAATTAGGCTTCTATTGAAGATATATACTTAACCTGAATTTCATTGGCCGACCATCCTCTGTGAACCTGGGTCTTATAGTCTGGTTCCATATTGGCATGGTATGTGTCTGCGTGAATTCCGAATTTCTTTAAACTAACTGTAACTTGCTCAGAGTCTTTCTGAGAAAAGCAATATATGATTCCTGTAGCAAAATATGTCCAATTGTTAGATATATATATAGCACATTCTTTGCAGATAATTTTTAACACACTCAAGATACCGATTAATACAATGCATGGGGAAAAAACATTTATGAAAAATTCCAAGGCCCTGAACACACTGACTTTTTGTATAATTCAAGATTTGGTCACCAGCTTGCCCTAAAGCAGAAATGAGCCCTGAGCCACCAGTTTTGCTTCCGATTACCTCTTTATTTCTCACTACATAGTATTTCTCAAACTGATGTGCCACAGCTCCATAAGATGTTAAGAAGTGTGCTGTGAAAAAAGAGTTTCACGTGCAAATGAGTTTGAGGAAGACTGAATTGAACAAAGTTAAACAAGTTGACCTTGTCATTTGCAGGGCTGGTCAGAACTTGTAATGCGCTGGTATACCCAGTGAATCTCCAGGAGGGATAAAGAGTACAGCCTTTCTCCAACTTACTTGACCCTGGAACTCCTTTTACCCAGGGCACCCATTAAGATCTGGAAATCTGTAGAACTGTTTTAAAATGCTACTTTTACAGAAACTCTTGACTTCAGTAACACCTGTCTATGCATTAACCCTGAAACACATGTATATATACTCTCAACTCCTCCTATACTTAGCTCATCCAATATGTACTAGTTATTTTTCTAATGTGTCCTTTACCATAGGGACTATATTCTATGTCCCTTTAGAAGAACATCATTGCTTAACCTTCTATCTTACACACAGTGGACACCTACTAAATATGTGCTGTTGATTATTAACATTAGGTCATTAGGTCCACTCTTTAAAGCAATTAAGCGTAAATAAGCAAAAATAAATCCAGTAGTTTTATGACTCTATAATCTGTGCCATTAGCAAATGTCACACCCAATTTCTAAGACCACTAAGTAAATCAATTTTATCATAACATTTTCAAGTATCTTCTGCCATGCACTAATTCTTTTTGGTGCTAATCATTTATCAGTACATTATATCACTGTAATTTTAGTTACTTTTTGAAAGTTCTCTCTCAGTCTTCAAAGTCAATTTGTTTCTATATTACCTGATTGTCCTTTGTATCTCCCATTAATGAGCTTTACGACATCCTCAATAAAATCTTCAGTGTTTGAGGGCTTCTGCCGAACCTAAAAAAAAGCTAATTCATTAAAATGTAAATTAATGAGTACCATCATGTAGTCATTTACTTACAACTTTCAAGGCGCTATTCTTTCATGAGCATAGTGATTTTCTCTTACCCTTTCACTCGCCTTATTGACCCTGCCACCTCCCAGACTCTTCTTGATCCTTATCTTTGAATTTACCAGAGATGAGAAGGCACAGAAGCAGTGAATAACTTGTCAAGGTGGAGACTTTTTTATTTTCTGATGCTACTTTTATAAAAACATAAACCATGGCATAAATAACTATTCAATGGAAACTCAGAAAAATATTGTCTAGTCTTAAAAGGATTAGAAAGAAAGAAAAAACAGCTGTTAGGTTATTTAACTTTCAAGGTTACACATCAAATATAATCTAAATAAGTCGTATTAGCAAATCTTTGATGGCATATTAATTTTGTATTATTTTGTAATTAATTTCAATAGAGATGTCAATAGGGTCCTTGGAATCAACCCACACTCACTCTCCATCCTTGCACAAGCAAGAATGTACGTAAACTTAACAAGGCATGTCTTCTACTTAACCTAGCAAAGGGTTATGCAGCACAAGAGATACATGAAAAAAGCATTAATCAATCTGCTTATAATCACCTCCTGATTTTAAAAACCTTTAAACATAGTTAACTGTTACTCATGTAAATAAACGTAACGAAAAGGTAACCTCTCTTCCGCAATCCTTCACGAAAGTCATAAACTGAGAGCAAAGTTACATACCTCATAATAAAGATTTGGCCGATTAAAAGAAGCTGTAAAAGTAAGACAGTTTTCAACACACAGTATTTTCTGAGCATCCTTCAAAACATGACTTGTAGCAGTTGCAGTCAGCCCAATGAGTGATGTGTTAGGGAACTGCCGCTTTAAGATACCAAGGGCCTTATAATCTGGAAAAAAAAATACAAAGTGGCCCTCTTTCTATTCTTTATGGAACAGAACAAATTATGCCTTTTAACATGATGCAGATCATCAACAATTACTGCAATTTTATTTCCATCGCTGCCTATATCTAAATCTGCAGTTGCTGCCTAGCCTCCTTGAATAGGCAGGCTTTATTATACCTTCAACTGGTACTTCAGAAACACTGCTCTCGGCCACAGGTGGAACAACTCCCTGCTGAAGAGAGGGAGTACCACAACATTTCCAGTGAGCGAGGCACTGGTCTACACCCACTGAACAGTGCATTCAAGAGGCAGTGGGAATAGCCATAGTGTCTGAATCTATTACAGCTGAGATGAAAGAGGCCATCAGCCAAAACCCTTCTCACATCAGCACCATCCAAGAGCGGCAAATTCAGACCAGAACAAGCTTGCTGAGGGCACTGGCTTTTATATAACCGGTTTTGGGGAAACCATCCTGGGCTCATATTTGTCATACACATCTCAATCACTAGATAAGTTGTCCTTAAGTGCATCCTTAAGCACTTAAACCATTTGGAGAAAAGTGAAAAAGAAATGTGGTAGAAATTGCTAAATGCTCAGGTAGAGGACTACCATGAAAATATGGAGGAGAAAGTAACTGCCTGGGAAGTTGTCCAGGTTTCAACGAAATAACATTTGAGTTGGGTCTTGAAGAACAAAAGAAGTTCACTAGGAAAGGAAGAAGAAGAAAACATCAGGCAGAGAAAACAGCATATGCACTGCAAATACACTGGCATGAAATCACTCAGCATGTTCAGAAAATAGCAAGCAATTCAGTGGAGTTAAATCACAGGGTGCTGTGCTGGAGAGATCTACTGTCAACTCCAGTAAGCTGGGAACTATCGTCCCTGTATGGTCCCAAGGTAGAGCTGGTCCAAAAGAGGAACTTGTGCAAGGTGGGGGAGGCAGAAGTGAATCAGCGGCCATTCCTCTCTGAAGGTCTTCCCAGGTAGATGGATATTGGACAGATACAGAGGTGCCCAGCCAGTTCTAGCTTGTCCTAGTTCTTTTCCACTCCTCCTTCAGCCCTTCTTCCCAACTGTAGGCCTTGCCGATCATCACTGGCTCCACGAGATGCCTGGCAGCAGGCCCACAGAGGTGAGAGCGACTCAGATGAAACAGCTTACCAGAGACCTCTCAGGAGCTTCCCCCTGGTGGCCCCCTTTGGCACTGGCCATGCCAGCTGCAGATTCCGCTACAAGCTCTGGATGGTCCTCCCGCACCAGTGCTTCAGGACTAGTCAGCGAGTTTTCTCCGATTCTCCAACTCCCCCTTCAGACCTTCACTTCCCCAGCACCTCTCACAATTATGCAAGGTCTCCTTCCTAAAACAAATCCCTTATCCCCTAACATTCACAGTAGCCTTGCTTCCCTATCCAAACTCCAACTGATACTGTTACACTTAAGAGTATAATAGAAAGGCAGGTTTAATAAGACTATGAACAACATAATCAGTTGATTCTAAGGAGCTAGGACTTTATCCTACAGGAAATGGGAAGTCATCATGTAATTTTTAAAGCAGACAAAGGACACAAATAGACTTATGTTTCAGAAATCATCTTCTGGTGGCAATGCAAAGGATAGGCTGGAATAGGCAAAAGACTGAAGAAAGGGAGACCAGATAAAACATGGCAGCAACTCATCAGAAAACAATAGAGAATATGAATTAAAGCATGACAATAAGGATAAATCAGACAGAAAAATCTGAATAGAAACACATGAACTAGAACCCCATAGGTCCTAGTGACTACCGGGATAGGTGGGGAGAGGGGGGAGCAGAGGGAGGAGAGAAGAGAGAAAGAGTCCAAGATACATCCATTTTTCAACAGACGTATGTTGAGTATTTTGTATTATGTGCCAAGCACGTCTCTAGGCCCTGGAAATAAAGTGGTGACGAAGACAAAGATGCTAGGCAAATGGAACTACAACTCAAACAAAGAAACTGGACCACACAAACCACTAAGTGTCTTATTATCAGTGCTAAGTACTCATAGTGATAAGCCCAGTGTAACTGGGTATAATGAGTGAGGAAGGAAGAACAGAAAATCGGGTGGAGACAAATAGAGGACAGATCACATATTGCCTTATGGACCCCAGTTAAGAATATGGATTTTATTCTAAGCACAAAGAGAATCTGCTGGGTAGTTTAGGGAGGGAAGTAACACGATTTGATTTATATTTAGAAAAGATCACTTTGGTTGCTGTGTGGAGAATGAACTGTAAAAGGGTAAGAGTGGAATCAGAGACCAGTTAGAGATCTATTGTAGTAGATCAGTGGAAAGGAGCCCAGCTGGACTTAAGAGACAGCAGTACAGACAAAGAGAAGTGGACAAACTTAAGATTCAATTTAGAGGTAGAGCTGACAGGCTTTGGCGGTGGATTGCATCTGCAGAGGTAGGATGAATCAAGGACGATGTGCCAGCTACTATGTTATTTGTTCTCAGCTCCAGCTCCACCCACCCTTCTACCCTCTGCTTTGTGGTGTGCTGGACCAGGGAATCTGCGCACTGCATTTCTGCTTTGCCAGTTGGCCCTAGAAGGACAGAGGACAAGGCTGGGGGAGGAAGAAGGGTCTTGCTCGTTCCTTTCTGCTTCCTGTGGGCTTGCTTGTGTTCTCCAGAATTCACTCCAGCAAGCTTCTTCATCCCCGCAGCAGCACTGTCTCTCCTTAGTAACAGCTGAATTCAGTTGGCAGTTTTCCCAACCTTTGGAGAAGTGCTTCATCACGGGTCCACCCCATCTCTACCTCCACTAAGAGACACCAGCACAGGGAGCTGTGCCGCCTCAGAGGTCTGAGTTTCAGTTCCAAGACGAACCCCCTCTAGGTTTCTAAATCTTATTAGTTCCAACTGTTTCTTCCTGTTCCCCTAGTGCTAGGGATGGTAATTGCTTCTTCCAGTTTTTACCTCCATGATACTTTAGAGTTTTCTTCTTATTTTTTCAGTTAGCTATTTATAACCATTTTTACCTAGTTAACAGTTCTTTACATTAAATTCTCTGTGTTGAAATAACGTATGGTTTCTGTCTCCTGACTGGACTCTGAATGAGACAGATAACTGCTAACACTTTGGCTTGAGCAAATGTAAGAGTGGCTGAACTATTTTCCAAGATTAGGGAAGCCTGGAGGGGAAATTGCTTGGGAGACGTGGGGAGAAGAGGGAAAGGCAGGGAGAGAGGAAGCACATCAAAAGTTCTTGATCAGGACATCTAGCAGAGCAACAGGGCAAAGAGTGATTCCCAGTTGCAGAACAGAAGAAAAGAGAGCAGCTGTCTTGGAGGGAATTTAGTTGTAGTCATGATCATTTAGACACACATGAAGAAAGAGAAATTTTAAAATGTTTGACACAAATGAAAATGGAAATAAAATATACCAAAACTTACATGAAGCAGCAAAAGCAGTTACACGAAGGAAGTTCATTGCAATAAACACCTACATTAAGAAACAAGAAAAATCTGAAATAAACAACCTAATTTTATACCTCAAGGCACTAGAAAAGGAAGAACAAACTAAGCCCAAAGTTAGCAGAAGGAAGAAAATAACAAAGATCAGAGTGGAAATATATGAAATAGAGACTAAAAAGACAATAGAAAAAGATCAATCAAACTAAGAGCTGGTTTTTTGAAAAGATAAACAAAATAGACAGACCTTTAGCCAGACTCACCAAGAAAAAAAGAAAGAGGACTCAAATAAATAAAATCAGAAATGAAAGAGGAGACATAACAATACCATAGAAATGCAAGAGATCATAAGAGACTCCTATGAACAATTATACACCAATAAATTGGACAACCTAGAAGAAATGGATAAATTTCTAGAAACATACAACCTACCAAGACTGAATCATGAAGAAAGAGAAAATCTGGACAGGTTACTAGTAAGGAGATTGAATCAATCATCAAAAATCTCCCAATGAATAAAAGTCCAGAACTAGATGGCTTTGCTGGTGAACCCTATCAAATATTTAACGAAGAATTAATACCAATCCTTCTCAAACCCTTCCAAAATATACAAGAAGAAGGAACACTTCCAAACTGATACCATGAGGTCAGCACTACCCTGATACCAAAATCAGACAAAGACACTACAAAAAAAGAAAATTAAAGGCCAATATCCCTGATGAACTTAGAGGCAAAAATTCTCAACAAAATATTAGCAAACTGAATTCAACAATACATTAAAAGGATCATACACCATGATCAAATGGGATTTATTCCAGGGATGCAAGGATGGTTCAACATCTACAAATCAATAAATGTGATATACTACATTAAAAAAATGGCAGATAAAAATCATATGATCATCTCATAGATACAGAAAAAGCACTTAACAAAATTCAACATCCATTCATAATAAAAACTCTCAACAAAATGGGTATAGAGGGAACGCACCTCAACATAATAAAGACAATATATGACTAGCCCACAGCTAACACCATACTCGATGGTGGAAAACGGAAAGCTTTTCCTCTAAGATCAGGAACAAGACAAAGATGCTCACTCTCACCACTTTTATTTAACATAGTACTGGAAGTCCTAGCCAGAGCAATTAGGCAAGAAAAATAAAAGGCATCCAAATCAGAACAGAAGAAATAAAACTGTCACTATTTGACAATGACAATGACATGACATTATACATAGAAAACCCTAAGACTGCACCAAAAATCTGTTAGAACTAATAAACTAATTCAGTAAAGTTGCAGGATACAAACTCAGTATACAAAAATCAGTTGTGTTTCTATACACTAATAACAAACTATCAAAAAGAGAAATTAAGAAAACAATCCCATTTACAACTGCATCAAGAAGAATAAAATACCTAGAAATAAATTTAACCAAGGAGGTGAAAGACCTGTATACTAAAACTATATGACATTGATGAAAACAAATTGAAGAAGACACAAATTAATGGAAAGATATACCATGCTCATGAACCAGAATAATCAACATTATTAAAATATCCACACTACCTAGAGTCATCTACAGATTCAATGCAATCCCTATCAAAATTCCAATAGCATTTTTCACAGAAATAGAAAAAACAATCCTAAAATTTGTATGGAACCACACAAGACCCCAAATATCCCAAGCAATCCTGAGAAAGAAAAACATAGCTGGAGGCATCATGCTTCCTAATTTCAAACTATATTACAAAGCTATAGTAATCAAAACAGTATGGTATTGGCATAAAAACAGACACAAAGATCAATGGAACAGAATACAGAGCCCAGAAATAAACCCATGCATATATGGTCAATTAATTTACGACAAAGGAACCAAGAATATGCAATGGGGAAAAGGACAGCCTCTTCAATAAATGGTGCTGGGAAAACTGGACAGCCACATGCAAAAGAATGAAACTGGACCCTTATCTTACACCATACACAAAAATCAACTCAAAATGGATTAAAGACTTGAATGTCAGACCTGAAACCATAAAACTCCTAGAAGAAAACATAGGAGGTAAGCTCCCTGACATTAGTCTTGGCAATGATTTTTTGGATTTGACACCAAAAGCAAAGGCAACAAAAGCAAAAATAAACAAGTGGGACTAGACCAAACTAAAAAGCTTCTTTACAGCACATGAAACCATCAACACAATGAAAAGGCAACCTACAGAATGGGAGAAAATATTTGCAAATCACATACCTGATAAGGGGTTAATATCCAAAATATATAAAGAACTCATACAACTCAACAGCAAAAACACAAACAATCAGATTAAAAAATAAGCAGAGAATCTGAATAGACATTTTTCCAAAGAAGACAAATGGCCAACAGGTACATGAAAAGGTGCTCAACATCACTAATCATCAGAGAAACACTAATCAAAACCACAATGAGATATCACTTCACACCTGTTAAAATGGCTATCATCAAAAATACAAGAAATAAGTGTTGGAGGAAAGAGAACCCTGGTGCACTGTTGCTGGGAATGTAAATTGGTGCAGCCAATACGGAAAACAGTATGGAGGTTCCTCAAAAAATTAAAAATAAAACTATTATATGATCCAGCAACTCCGCTTCTAGGTATTTATCCAAATAAAACAAAATCACTAGATATATGCACCCTCACGTTCACTCCAGCATTATGTATAGCAGCCAATACATGGAAACAACCTAAGTGTCCATCAACAGATGAATATATAAAGAAAATATATATACCATGGAGTATTATTCAGCCACAAGAAATAAATTCTGCCATTTGCAACAACATGGATGGACCTTGAAGGCATTATGCTAAGTGATATAAGTCAGACAGAGAAAGACAAATACCGTATGATATCACTTATGTGGAATCTAAAAACATAACCAAAAACCAAACTCAAACATACAGAGAACAGAGCGGTGGTTGCCAGAGGCAAGGGAGAGGAAATGGTCGAAATGGGTGAAGGAGGTCAAAAGGTACAAATTTCTAGTTATAAGATAAATAAGTCCTGGGGATGTAATGTACAGCATGGTGACTATAGTTATAATACTGTATTGTATATCTGAAAGTTGCTAAGGGGAATAAATCTTAAAAGTTCTCATCGCAAGAAAAAAAATTTGTAACTACATGTGGTGATGGATATTAACTCAACTTATTGCAGTAATCATTTCACAATATATACATATATCAAAAAATTAAGTTGTACACCCAAAACTAACACAATATTATGTGTCAACTATATTTCAATTAAAAAAAATTTTTAAATAGATATATATTTCCAATAAACAATTAGGAATATGAATCTGAAGTTTAACAGTAGGATAATTAGATATGGGAATAATTAATTACAGCTTGGCAGCAGATCAGCAGAGTTGACGCAAGTCACGGTAATACATAAGCAATGTTAATTATCATAAGGTTGGAAATATAGAGCAAGGGTCAGAAATCTGATGTTTTCAGGGGCTACCAGGTAACAACTCTGCGGAGTAGTCTGGTTAAGATAGCAGGGTCCTTAGTAGAAAGGACAGTATATATGCTGCCTAAGGCATTTAAATCAAAATTTTAAAAAATACCTGTGCCCCAAATAATTCTGAAGGTAGAGAATTCCGTCTTCAGGCCATAAGTTTACTTTCCCTGGGGGAGAGTAAGGTAAAGACGGATCAGAACCATAGGGCACACTACTATTTAAGGAGGCAGCAAAGGAAGAAGAACGAAGGAGGTGAGAACGGAAAGGAACAAAATCAAAAGCATTACATTCCAGTAACCAAGGGAGAAGAAAGTGGAAGGTGAGAGATGACCAGAAATACTATTGAAGTTAGGTGGGAAGAGGAATGAAGACGAGACCACTGGATTAAGCCAGTGGGAAGTGGGGTCATTGGTGACCTTTGAGTAGAGCGGTGGAGACAGAAGCATGATTTAAAGAATTCACAAAGGAAAAAAGGTGAGAAATGGAGATGGTGAGTTTAGAAGGTGAGGTGAAAGAACAGAAATAGGACAATACCATAAAGGGTAGAAAAGGTCAGAAGGGCATTTCAGCTTCTGTGTTTGATTTTAAGGAGACTGAAGATGCACAAGTGAGGACCCTGACCAAGCAAGATCTTAAGAAGGCAGGAAAGGATGAAGTAGGAGGGGCCATGGTCACCCTTATAAAAAAATGGTCTTTTTTGCTTCGGAAAAAAAGGAAGGAGAAAGAGGAGATGTCCATTCCTGACGGCGCCTCCTTTCTGGGGAGTAGGAGGCATCTGCTAAGTATGAGTTAGGGCTTAAAGAGAAAGTCAATGGTATGAAAAGCTAGTTGGGAGAAATGCATAAAGGAGATTACATAGGGACAAGTAAAGGACAGCTGAGCATGATGAAAGCCAAACGGAGGTGTAAATTAATGCAGTTATGCAATTTTTTCCGGACAATGTTTAGTAGCCAAACAGCAGGAACGGGGAAAGCAGAAGCCTGGATGGATCCAGCATGTGAGTCTGGCACAGTGCCTGAGGCAGCCATCATTCGTCTGGCACAGTGCCTGAGGCAGCCATCATTCGTCTGGCACAGTGCCTGAGGCAGCCATCATTCGTCTGGCACAGTGCCTGAGGCAGACTGCTAAAATGCCAGGCAGTCCAGGAGAAACAGAACAGAAGTGGCAGCAGCACAGACCCTGGACAGGAAAAAGAGAGACCGTCATGTGGGGACTGGAGCCACGGACAAATACACGGAGGGATTAAAGAGAAACCCAGGAGGTCCATGTGAGTGTGAAAGCAGGTTCAGAAGGAAGACGATGAAATCATGGAGCAGGATTTTTAATTTTTTTTTTTTTGCATAGAACAAGTCTGAGTAATCTGCTTGAGGCTATGACTGTAGGATTAGGTTGGAGGAGTAAAGAAAAGGGTTACTAAAATATTCCACAGAACTTGAACACAGAGGAGTTAGTTGGGTGTAGATCCTGAAGTGGATGCTAATGACACTGAGAATGATGACTAAAGAAGACAACTTTGAAGCAAATGCAAATTCCTCAACAGATATGAAGGAGAACCTAGAGGTCAGTAAATCTTTATGGCTAAAGATAGGAGAGTATAATATTTACTAATAAACCTGTTTCAAAGGATGAAGGCAATTAGAGATTAAAGATTCTGCCTCTTGGCTCCCCTTATATTAAGGCAAGAGAAAATGAGTAATAACTACCTGAAAGGATAATTTTAATGGAAGCAGGCATTTCCATCATGTAAAACTGAGTAAGAAAATAATCCCTGGCATCAAAGAGTTTTCTAGATACCACATACATACCAGGTCTGAAATCATGTCCCCAGTGACTACAGCAGTGAACTTCATCCACAGCAATTCGGGTAAATCTCCCTGCTTCATAGGCTTTCTCTAGTCTTGACATAAACATTTTGCTTTTTGAAATCTTCTCTGGAGTCACATAAATTAGCTTTAGCTCGGAGTTTTTATTTACCATTTCAGCATGAACCCATTTCACATGCTCCTATTGAAAGGAAAAACACACACAGTGATAGTAGAACTAAGCCAGGAGACCGCAATACTAAGTGGTAAATGAAGACATTCATTACTCAGAAACAACAGCCTCGGGCTGTTTTAGCAGCAGATGTTTGATTCATTAAAATCAAAACCACATCCCAGTACTAAACTCCATGGCAGCTGTGTAAATAGCATTTTAGTTACATCCAAACTGTTGATAAAAGAATAATCTCATTTGACAAAAAAGAGAACAAAAAATGATTGTAAAGACACTCCAATAAGCATTTATTCTATGAAGGCATAATTCTAAATTGTTCATAATAAATGCCAAAATATGAGCTAAATGCAATAGGTGGTTATAAAGGTGGGTTTTATTAATTTTAACATTATATTTGTAATCGCTTCATATATCTGTGAACAAACTTTATTCTTGATCAGCTACTCTAACAATGCTATCAAATCTACTCATAATCTATTTAGATTTTATAAAGTATCTTATTCATTAAATTAATATTTTATAATATAAATATATTTTTATATATAATAAACAATAAATCTTAAGAGGTAACAGTTATAGGTTCTTAGTGCTCTATTATTTTATATAATATTTAGCACAGTAGATGTCATAATTTTCCTTCTAACCTAATTAGGACAAAAAAAGTATAAAGAAGCAATGGTGAATATGATAGAAAGTCAACCTGCTTTCAACATCTCAGCAAAGCAGTTAACTCCTAGAGATATTCCTAATTTTGTTAAGAAATGGCCAAAGTACATTAAACATTTCAACTGGTCCTAAATGTCTCGGAAATCTTTGGAGCAAACATAAGCCTATCTCTTCAGAAAGGGGCAGGTGCAAAAAAAGAGAACCTCTGGCAGAATAAGTGGAGAAGCAAGATTTAAAAAAAATGTTCTATTCACACCCTATGAACTGTTAGTGCAAGCAACCAGAAAACTAGACTTGACTCACTCTCTCTTGTCTCCCTAACTTTTCAAGCAGTAGTGATATGGCATGAACTGGTAATAATCTGCAAGTTTCTAACTACTTTCTATTACTATTACTCACTTTTTCAGTTTTAAGGAAATACAGTATTAGAAGGCAACGTTCTCCATAAGTTCATTCTGTTGAGTGAGAGAGCAGTTATAATGACACAAGAGTTTAAATAAAACAAAAATATATGGGAAAAACTAAAGGAACCAAGGCTTCTTAGTGATATGGCTGATTATAAGTCTGGGAGGAAATACACAAAATTTGAGCATGGAGTATCTTATTATAAAAAGAAAGCAAGGAGTCAAAAGCTATGGGGTAAAGGAAAAAGATTCAGGAGCCAACTTAAAGAGGCTCTCACTGCCTCAAGATGGGACTATTTCAGCATAAAAAAGAATAACTATGGATTAGAATATATCAAATATGTTAAAAATCCATAAGTTTATAATGATACTTAAAAAAAAAATCTTATTGACCATCTTTGGAGAATGTTAGAAAATCAACTCAGAAATTTCTAAAAACTGGTCAAGAAAGGGAAAGAATTTCTAATCTGCAAAACGGTAATAAGGAAAAATTTCTTTATAGAAAAAGTCTAGCTAATATATCAAGGAGGAGTGATAGAATTAGAAATCACCATTTTGTAATCCCTTAATTAAATAATGGCTCTAAGGTAGGCAATAATCCTCAGTGGCTGTTAAAACCATTAGATGAAAAGCTGATAGAGATCTTGATAATTATAGAGAAGGCAGACATCACCTAATCCCACTGACCAAGCTTAAGGTCACAAAAAAATAACCAGGTGTTATGTATCTCCCAAGTGATGCTATGGGATGCCTTGCAAAAAAAAAAAAGCCCAAATACAATCAAGCTTTTAATTCTAACTAATGGGAACAAGTTAAACAACATCACAAGGATATAATCAAGAAAATCCAGAATGTGGGAAACTACAAGAAAAAGACCCTGGTTTCTTCAACAAATAATTTATAATTTGCATTATAAATGCAAAAAGAAACAAAAAAGAAATAAGAGAAACCTATGGATATATCAACCAAAAACAACATAATGCACGAATCTAATCTGGGCCTTGATTTAAAAAAAAAAGTAGGGCCGGGACGGTGGCGCAAGCGGTTGGGTGCACACGCTCTGCTGCGGTGGCCCAGGGCTTGCCGGTTCGGACCCCAGGCACATATCGACGCACCGCTTGGCAAGCCATGCTGTGGTGGCGTCCCATATAGAGTGGAGGAAGATGGGCACAGATGTTAGCCCAGGGCCAGTCTTCCTCAGCAAAAAAAGAGAAGGATTGACATCAGACGTTAGCTCAGGGCTGATCTTCCTCACAAAAAAATAAATAAATAAAATAAAATAAAAATAATCAGATTTGATGAGACAGAGAAACCTGAATATTTTCATTTGATGATTTTAAGGAATTGATATTAAATTTTTTATGTATGATGACAGCATTGTCGTTATCTTTTTTAAAAAGTTAGAGATACATATTGAAGAAGTTACAACTGAAATGATATGATGTCTGGGATTTATTTCAAATAAATAAACCAAGGGGAAGAGGGGAGGGAAAATTTGGGGCATATAGATGAAAAAAGATTGGCCATATATTGATGACTGTTAAAGGCGGTTAATGGGTACACGGCAGTTTTTATTCTCTCTACTTTTGTATACTTTTGAAAATTTCAATAATATGCTTTGTCAAAAAGAATAGCTGGGAAATGCTTTATTCAACAGATGAAGGTAAGAGAGTCCATTCCCAAACAGAAGAAATTCCACAGGCATAGCGTATCCTGTTAGTAATTCACTTTTTGTATTTAATTATATTGCATAATTAGAAATTTTTGCTTATTATTTTATAATGGATAATATAAAATAGATCAGCAAATGTTTACTGTAAAGTGCCAGATAGTAAATATTAGGTTTTGTGGGCCATACAGTCTCTATCACAACTACCCAACTCTGCCATTACAGTGTGAAAACAACATGTTGTTTATGACATTACAATGTCATAAACAACATGTTGTTTATGACATTACAATGTCATAAACAACATGTAAATGAATGAGCATGGTTGTGTTGCAATGAAACTTTATTGATGAACACTGAAATCTGAATTTCTTATAATTTTCACACTTCACAAAATCTTCCTTTGATTTTTTTTGTAACCATTTAAAAATATAAAAACCAGTCTTAGTTCACAAACCACACAAAAATAGGCAGTGGGCTAGAACTGGCCCATGAGCATAGTTTGTGACTCCTGATACAAATAGTTATCCGTTTATAATTTTACAAGCAACTCAATTGTAGCTAAGGCTCCTACTTCAATGAAGAGTTTAAATCAAAAAAAGAAAGAAAAAGCCACAGAAGCATACCTTAGAACTAGAAGCATTTAACATGGTAGCTGAAATTCCTAATCGTTCTAAAACCATTAGTTGGTCTTCCATAAGAGAGATCAATGGGCAAATCACGAGGGTAAAACCTAAAAGAGAAAATATCTACTTTAAATTTTACACCACTTCCAGAATGAGTTTCAACCATTCACCTTCTTTATCATAACTTGTGGGCACCAAGCATCAATTCAGACTAATTTTCAATACAGCCTCAGCAATATACTACCTATTTATTACCCTCGTTAATGAAGGAGGTAGATGTGAATAAATAATCATAAGCCAAACAAGCAAATATAAGATTAAACAGAAATCTTCTCTTATTCAGTCCTATAAAAATACACAGATATTCTCATTTTGCATTTTTAATTTACTATCATTTTTAACAATCAGTATTGGTAATCTCAGTAAAATAATATATAAATCAAGTCAACAGTTACACCAGAAAAAAGTTATTCCAAAGCTTTCCAAACAAAACATAGCAACCTATATAATTAAGAAAGATATTTACATGAGTATTCTTCTACTTAACTGCACCAGATTAACTTATTTTGAGTAGAAATCAGTGAATAGTTTATTGACTGAATGTACTTCTGGTAACATATCCCTTTTCTCTTATAACTGAAATTGTTCATAGCTACAAGAGCTATCCCACATTGTTAAAATCATATGATTTTTGTTTCTGTAGTTTGTTCCTTAAAATAACCAGGGGCAAAGAGTTTAAAAAATATACTAAGATTAAGACCTTATCAGGGATTTCACCCTCTCCCTTAGTCTCTCTCCTGTCTTTTCACATTCTCCCTCATTACTGGCACCTTCTCATTACATTTACACGTGGTCAAGTCTTTCTTATCTTTGAAAAAACTCTAGACACCTAATTTAGGGTCCTTTCTCTTTTTCCCTTCATAGCAATTCTTTCCAAAGAGTGTCCCATTCACCAGTTCCACTTCCTCAACTCCTCTTCTTTTCCAAACCATTGCTATTTGGTTTCCACCTAACCATTTTGCTGAAATTGTTACAGCCAAGGTCACTGATGAGTCCCTTGTCACTAAATCCAATGGAACTTTCAAGTCCTTATTTTATTTGACCTTTTGCCAACAGTCATCACTACTAACCACTCCCTCCTTGAAATACTCCCTTCGCTATGCTTCTAAGAACACCATACTCTCCTGATTATCCTCGTACACTTTGCTACTCCTTCTCAGGCTTTTCTGCAAGGTCCTCTTTCTCTGCTTATCCCTAAACTCTTGATGTTCTGGTTTCTGCTCTAGGCCCCCTTCTCTTCTCATGCTGCTCTGGATGATATAATTCACTCCCATGGCTTCAATGGCCATCTCCACACTAACAGCCTCCAACTCAGCTAACTCAGATCTCTCAGACCAAGCTTTACACCCAAACATCCTCCTACTCACACAACAATTCCACCTGGATGTCTTGCAGGCATCAGAAATTCAACATGTCCCAAATTGAATTCATCACATTCCCTCTCTCTCCATTCCCAAATAAGTTCTTTCTCTCATGTACCCTATTTCAGTGAACAACTTCACCATTTGTCCCAGCCTAAAATTTGGGCATCATTCTAGACTATACTTTCTCCTACCCCTCTATCCAATGAATACCATGTCCTATAGAATCTACCTCCGAAATATTTCTGGAATTCCTCCACCTGCTGGAATTATCCTTCTAAACCACAAATCTGACAAGTCTCTTACCTGTATAAAACCCTTCAACAACTTCCCACTGATCTAAGGAAAAGTTTTAAAAATATCTTTCAAGACTCTTTCCACATCTTATCTCTCACTCCTTGCCACTCTGAGATTCTTCCAGGTTACTGAATACACCATGCATGTTCTCTCTTATTTTTGGGCTCTCACAAACACTGCTCCCCTGCATGAACACTCTTCCTTCCTCCCTTGACCTTTTTTTGCCTATTTACCCTTTAGCTTTTTAGCTCAAATGCACCTTCCTCAGGACAGCCTTCCCTGACAGCCTCTGGACCAGATCTTTGCACTGACCGAATTCCTTTAGCCTATTAAACCTTTGTCACAAAACGCTTATTGCAATTGCTTGCAATTACCTGTATGCTCTAGACCTGGGGTCAACAAACTAAGGGCTGGCTGCTTGTTTTTGTCAATAAGGTTTTGCTGGCTCTCAGCCACATCCATTTGTTTACAGATTGTCTACGGCTGCTTTCGTGCTACAATGGCAAAGTTCAATGGTTGCCACAGAGACCATACCATAGAGGACCACAAAGCCTCTAATATCTACTGACTGGCTCTTTAAGGAAAAGTTTGCTGACCCCTGATCTATACCCTTATTAGTCCCCAAACTGCAGCATCAGTATTAGCTGGGAGCCTGTGAGAAACGCAAGATCTTGGGTTCACACTAAATCATAATCTGCATGTTAATCGGCTCGGCAGGTGATTCTTAAGCACATTAAAGTTTGAGAAAGCGCTGCTCTACACCATGAGCTCTGTGAAAACAAGGACCATGCCCACTTTGCTCACCACTGTATCTCCAGTGCCTAACACCACAGCAGACACTCAATAAAGATCCAGGACCAGAACCCAGCTCTACTGATTCGTTTTCTAGTGCTTTTTCTCCTACAACATGTTTTTTAATTATGTTTCAGGAACCAAATAAAAGAATTAATTACTCTCAGTCTTTAACATTCCCTCTTTAAGTGAACTCTTAAAATGTCTGTTAATGTAGAGATAAATACAACAAAAACGCACTTGACTTTTACATATGTATGGTTAGAAATTATTTTTTAAAGACTTAAAAATATATTAAGAGAAATGACATTTCTTCAACTTAAAATTAATCTTTATGAATACATACCATCTGAACATAACGCTGGTAACTGGTAGCACAAGCTCTTTCCACCTCCTGTAGGCATAACAAGAAATATTTCCTTTCTAGACATTGTGACATTAATAGTTTCAAGCTGGAGCGGCCTGAATGTCCGCAGTTTAAAAACATTTTGCAGAACATCTTTAACTTTACCAGACCATGGAAAACCTAGAAAGAGAAAAATAAGCCAAATATATGAGAACAAGTTAGGATTATAAACGAGACACAAACATGAATGGCTCTTTTATAATAAAGAACAGAAAAAAATATATAAGACTTTTAATACTATGGAAAATTTAACTTTTATAATAATTTTAAGATTAGTTTAACTCACTAACCTACAAAAAAACAAATTTAATGATATATCTTAAGAAACAGTACACCAGAAAACGAAACGTTTGCCAGTTGAGAATCAACCTGCACAGAAGAGGAAGATGCTCGATCAGGTACTTGAAAAACAATCTGAACGTTGATCAGGGAATTCACAGTATCATAAAAAACTCAAATATCATGAACAAAGTTGACAATTATCTGGAATTTTTGGTATAAATATCTTGTTTAGAAGTGAATCACCGGAAACACAAAAGCATTACAATTTCTTTGAGAGTTACAGTATTCCATTATAATTAATGATAAATATGATGCTTGGCAAGATCTTGAATCAAGAATGGTGTGTTCACTAGGGCAGGAAAATGAACTAGACTTTGGCAAGGAGTTTGAATTTTTTTCTTTACTGTTTAATTTTTTTCTACTTAAAACTTAGAAAATTTAGTTAAAATAAATATCTTATTTTTCCAGGCATTGATTAATGTTGCTAGAACCATATTTGGAAAAAATAATAAAGTCTAAATAATAAAAGAACATGGGTAAAGAATGGTCTGCCTACAATTTCCCATGCCACTTAAGGAATGGCCAGTTTCGCTTGCAAGCCCCCTGGAACACAGTAACCCAGGCACGATGATTTAACTCCAGTTTAAAGAAATGAGAAGAAACAAAACCAGCAAAGAAAAACAAAAGAGTAAACCTTCTCTATTCCAAGCAGCAGGTGAAGAATCACATTCGTTGCTTGGCCCAGCATCAGAATTCTCTAAACTCTGCTTTATTCTGTTTGTTAGGATGTTTTTTTTCTGAATAAGCTCTCGTTGCCTTTCCAGAAGTTCTTCAAGTTGAATGTCTACTGCATGTAGCTCATTGGTTACGGAATCCAATTCCTCAGTTAGAGCTACAAGGGAGGAAAAAAGATACAATGACAAGACAGAGGTAATTACAATTTTAGGTTTCCCTATTGAGTTTTGGATATTCCTCACCATCAAAATTACAAACAAACTTACAGTAGTATAGCAGAGTGGTTAAGAGCACATGTTTTGGAGTCACACAGACCTGAGTTAAATCTTCAGTCCTCCACCTACCTGCCGAGTGACCTCAGGCTAAGGTACTTAACTGGGCCTCAATTTCCCCATCTGTAAAATGGAGACAATACCTAGCTTTCATGGTATTGTTATAAAGAATTAAGTGAGATTACATATTGAAAGTTCTCAACACAGTACCTGGTAGGTACACAGTTAAGCATTTAATAAATGATAATTATTACTTTTATTATGTTGTAGGGCAGTGATCCAACAATCTCCTAAATCATTTAAGTAAAGCAACCAGACTTTGAAGCAAAAGGAAGCTATTTAAAAGTAATCCCCTAGACGAATGGATAAAGAAGATGTGGTATATATACACAATGGAATACTACTCAGCCATAAGAAACAATGAAATCCAGCCATTTGTGACAACATGGATGGACATTGAGGGTATAATGCAAAGTGAAATAAGTCAGAGGGAGAAGGGCAAATACCGTATGATTTCCTTCATTAAGTAGTAGATAATAACAACAATAAATCAACACATAGGGACAGAGATTGGATTGGTGGTTACCAGAGGGGAAGGGGGGAGGGAGGAAGGTGAAAGGGATAATTCGGTACATGTGTGTGGTGATGGGTTGTAATTAGTATTTTGGTGGTGAACATGATATAATCTATGCAGAAATAGAAGTACAATGATGTACACCTGAAATTTTTACAATGTCATAAACCAATGTTACTGCAATAAACAAAAAATTAAAAAAAAAAAAAAAAGTAATCCCCTAACTACTTAGCTATTATTTTATGAAAACATTCACATCTGGGTTGATATGGTTGCATGATAAAAAGTCAGTGATTATAGGGGCCGGCCCGGTGGCGCAAGCAGTTAAGTGCGTGTGTTCCGTTACGGCGGCCCAGGGTTCGCTGGTTCGGATCCCAGGCGCACACCGATGCACTGCTTGGCACGCCATGCTGTGGCAGCATCCCATATAAAGTGGAGGAAGATGGGCATGGATGTTAGCCCAGGGCCAGTCTTCCTTAGCAAAAAAAAGAGGAGGATTGGCATTGGATGTTAGCACAGGGCTGATCTTCCTCACAAAAAAAAAAAAAAGTCAGTGATTATAAACAAGATTTTGTAACAGTGAAAAGATAAATCAAGTATGCTATTGGAAGTGGCATTACAACTCCATCATAACTAATTGATAAAGAAGCCTTAACACTGATATCAATAGATGAATGGATAAAGAAGATGTGGTGTGTGTACATATATATATGGAACATTACTCAGTCATAAAATAAGAATGAAATCTTGCCGTTTGCAGCATGGATAGACCTTGAGGGTATTATGCTAAGTGAAAGGAGTCAGACAGAGAAAGACAAATACCATATGATTTCACTTATATGAAGAATTTTAAAAACAAAACAAATGAACAAACAAAACCAGACTCACAGATACAGAGAACAGACAGGTGGTTACCAGAGGTGAGAGGGGTCGGAGGGTGGGCAAAGTGGGCGAAGGGCATCAAGAGGTACAAAATTCCAGTTATAAAATAAATAAGTCATAGGGATGGAATGTACAGCATGGGGAACAGAGTCGATAATATCGTATTAACTTTGTAGGGTGACAAATGGTTACTAACTTATTGCGGTGATCATTTATAATGTATATAAATGTTGAATCACTATGCTGTACACCTGAAACTAATATAATATTGTATGTCAATTATACTTCAATTTAAAAAAGAAGCCTTCACATATGATTCTAATCAATCTGAATATGACAGTCAGTGTGAGATTCCTTTTGACACCACGTCAATGGAAGCTAGAAACATTTTACAGATGTCCTTGGTGCTTTCTAAAACATCTGCCTGCACTAATCAGTGTCCAGCTTTAATGCTTTCTCATGAGATGAAAGCTTATGGTTATAATTTAAAATAGGATGTTATCGTGGCTTTGTATTATACCAACTGCCAGAATTTCCCTCCCGCATGATTCTGGGTTAGGATTGGCCACAAGTGAACTCTGCGTGAAATGTGGAAGGCAGGAATCACACAGCAGCCAGATGCACATTCAGATGGTTGGCGTAAGGTCAGGTTCTGTCGCGACTCTCGTGTTGTCACGAATGTGCGGGTTCACCTTGCTGGAAGGGGGCAGAAGCCTGTTCCACCAGCTCCTGCTGAATCTCCCCGGGGCAGCAGCTTAGCCCACAGCTTCCTCAGCTTCTCTGAATCCTTGTCCAAGTTCCTATGTAGCTTTTGTGGAAAGTGGACCAGCCCTTCTGCAAGGCACCAGTATCCTGGAAGTCAGAGCCTTGGAGGCAATGACACACCAACGTAAGTCCCAGTGAGAGACAGACAGGTTCCACTTTGTCCTCGTGGGTTTCAGCTCATCCTTACCCTCCCATTCTCCACAGCCATCTTCCCATGCCTACTGCTGGCACTTCTGACTTCAGGACCAGCAGCGGACTGCTTAAGCAGGTCCCATGATCATGTGGGGACTAATCCCTATAATAAATCACTTATGTTACTCATAATGATTCAGCTTCTCTGATTAAACCCTAACCAACACCAAATGTTGTTCCAGAGGAAGAAAAACTTAAAGTGGGTTCTCCGAATTGCTTCTGGGCCACCTGGCATTGGGTCTCTGATCTGCTTAGATTTAAAGACATTAATGACTCTTGTTTGCAGTGGTAAAAGGCACAATGGTATTCCATGGCATGCAGTAGACAAAGTTATTGAAATTAGAATCTACAGACACCTGTAATTAGGTATCTAGAGAAGGCAAGGCTCTGGGTGACCGAGTTTTGCTGTCACAGAACATTTTTGTGAGAATAATGGGGTTGATTAGTTGCTTCTAAGTATGCTGGAGAACTTGAGGAGAGAAACGCAGGATCTGCATAGAGGGACCTCAGAGTTTCTATGATTGTCCTAAAAGAAACCCTTACCTCCTGTAGCTACAGGGCCAACACCCTGAATACCAAGTCTAAATTCTCCAGGTGGCTGAATTACAATGCAAACTGAATTCCCAACCTCACAGGGGCTCTTATGTTAAAGTAAGTGCGTTGATTAGGAAGGAGTGAGATTCTGCAACTGGGATGGGAACATCTGGGCAGATTCCAATGAAGCAGGGGACCATTAAATTCTGCCAAGTCTCTTTTGTCCTTCCTCGCCTTTCTGAAACAGCCTCCTCCTGCCTGAAAAGCCTGTCATGGTCTTTCTTGAGGCAGTTGCCTTGTAAGGGATTGCTAATCCCCCTAAGGATCTGCCAGCACCACCTCTCAGAGCTTCAAGTGCTAAGAAACCCAAGGGGATGAGGTACAAAAGTGACCTGTGAGAAAACACACCAAAAGAGTTGCATTTGCCAATATGTATCACTAGAAGCCTAGGGAATATATGTGGGAATAGATCCTAAGGGTGGACAGAATAGAACATTGAATGAAGCTAAATTTATTGATATGTACTCAATAAGAAATTCTGGATTTAGTGTGCTAAATATAGCAGCCAAGAGTGGCTCTAATAATTTACTTAGTTGGTTGTCAGAAACCTGGCCCCGAAGATAAATATCACAAAGTGGGATGGAATGATACAGGTATAGATTCCAACGAAGTTGAAGGGCTAGAACTTCCCAGGTATGCTCCAAAGGAAGGGATCCAGATGCTTAGGGAGACGGGAGTGCCAGAGTGGATTATCACATGGATTGATCATCCACTCTCTTGCAGTCCCCCAGGAGGATCCAGAGAACATTCCCTTCACCAAAGCTGTGAAAAATACATTCATGAAGGGAGCCCCAGCATCCCTGAAGAGTTCTGGAGTGGCTGTTCTCTGTAAGCCAAGAATGAAGTGGCAAGTACTGCCTTTGAACTACCTGAATCAACGAGAACAATGGTTTCCCAAGGTATGGGGGCTAAATGGTAGCAATTCAATTCATGACCAAAGAAAAGGTAGATGTGGTTGCCATAATAGGCAACGGGGCAAAAGCAATAATCACAACAGTCTGACCCACAGAGATCTTTGGCACTGGCTGGTTGATCATGATGTTCCTGAAATGAAAATAGATTACTTGATTTGTATATGCAGAATGCAAAGCCCTGATTCTGGCAAACATTAAGTCTGATTTGAATCACCACAACAGAGTCACAGTCCTTCAAGCAGTTCCCAGAAATGAGCCAATTTATAGACCCAGAGTCCCTTGAATAAAGTGGAGGTTGGCGTCCTTTGAGGAAGGACACTACTATACAGCTAAGAATTTATGTAGTAAATCTTTCCATTAGTTTTCCCCAGAGAAATGCATCCAGGTTATTGTGTATTGGGGAAAGGAAAATAACTCCTCAGAAATTACCGGACATTAACTTTGAACTAATAATTCCCGGAAGACTAAAATGCCACAGTGATCCACCAGTCAGAGTATGGACTGGACTTATGCAAGTCAGGTGATCAACGCAGTTTTGCTCAGGTCCGTCACACAGTGGGCTGAGGAGGTCCTCTAACCCACTCTGTGGTTATTTCCCCAGTTCCAGAATGCATAATTATAACAAGATACATTCAGCAACTGGCAGAATCCACACATTGGTCCCCTTACCCATAAGTAAGGGCTATTATGGCAGGAAAGACCAAGTGGAAGCCAGTATAACTGCCCTTACCTACCAAAACAGTGAACAGTGCTGTTTCTCCCCTAGCTAGGATTCATGGGCCTAGGAATCAGGGGTGGAAATGGGAGTGGCTCATCTTACTATTACCTCCTAGTGATCCACTAGCGAAATGTTTGCTTCCCATCCCTGAAACTTTGGACTCTGCTGGTCTAGAGGTCTTAGCATGGAAGAAATGCTTCTACCAGGGGAAAAAGCAATGGTTCCATTTAACTGGAAGTTGACTGC